CGCTTCACTACCACAGGTGTTCAGGAAGAGCTGTAGTGTTCTCAAAGCCAAACGCTCTTTAATGAGAAAACTGCATCTTATCAAACTCTCTTTAAGGCAAGTCATTTCACTCAGCGGCCATCTTTGAAACACCTACGCATTCTGTTTGAATGGGGAAATGTCAAATTCTAAAAAACTGCTTGCCAAGCTTACGATTAAATTCCATATTACGAATAACGAATATAATTAAACAACAACTGTCTCTTTAGTTTTATATCTAAATATTTATACCACAGAAAAGCTGCAGAAACTCATGTCTGGTCCAAGCCCCTCCCCTGGAGAATTGTCATTCTATAGCGATCACTGATTGGGGGGTTCTTTACTGGAAGGCAGGCCTTATTCGCCATATAGCAATCGCTGATTGGCTCCAGTACTAAAAGGCAGGGCTTCATTCGCCATGTTGACTGTTACACTTTTCCCCATTCAAAAGTAAACGAGTGACATATCTTGTGTATTCTATAGTCTTTGATCTTACAGTTCTGCTGTTCCATACACTGATTAAAAAAAAAGATATATCTTTATTGTCAAGATGATAATTAAACAATATGTGCAGCTGTATCGTGACAAAATATTATAGTTTATTAAAAAATTATATAGTTTCATTATATATATATATTACAATAAAACTGATAGTCGATGGCATAAACTCACTGTCTTAAAGAGATAGTTCACAAAAAATGAAAATTGTCATCATTACTTGTTTGTTCCAAACCTGTTTGAGTTTCTTTCTTTCTGTTTAACACAAATATACTGAATGATGATTGAAAAAAAAAACAGCCATTGACTTTAATGTTTCCCCTAGATTTACAGATTTTATTTGGGTGGGGGGGAATTTGGTGGCACAGCGCAGCTGTTCAGACTGACACTGAGTCATGGTGTTAATTTGTTTCTTTTAATGACAGCAGTAAAAACGTGAACAATTATTTGAACTGTACAAGCTAAAAAAATTATTATTTTTTACATCTTTTTTTATCCACAAAGTGTGCAGCTTTTGTCACTGCGGTGTATCCTAATGGGCTTCTGGAAGAACATTTCAAGTACACTAGTAGTACATATTAGTATGCTTACTAAATAAAGTACAATTTTATACTTGACCTTTACTTAAGTATACTTCTTTTTCCTAAGGATGTATTTACTGACTTACCAAGATCAGTCTTGTGCAGCCAGGGGGAGTATTGCTGCTCTGACAGCGGAGTCGCGTCAAAGATAGGGATGCTCCTTTCAGGATTTTTGCATACCGAGTACCGATTTCTTGTCATGGTGCTCGGCTGATCCAAAGTACCGATTATAATGCTTCAAGCTTTATAATGCTTTAAGCACATTTTACCTCCAAGTATGAACATTAAGAAAACATCCTGCCTTACCTAAGAGAATAAATCAAGGATGCTGCATATAATACCTTAAGCACATCTCTTTAGGTGTGAACGGGTCATGCCCAAAAGCAGCTTTAAAGGTTGGAAACAAGTAAAGGGTGAGTAAATGATGACAGAATATAAATTTTTGGGTAAACTATACCTTTACCAGCCCCCACCACCAAAAAAAAAAAAAAAGAAATACCAAAAAACACCTTTCTAAATCAGAGATCAAATGTATAGTCACACCCAAGATAATATCATTTTTTTAAATATTGTCCATTATACATCAAAAAAAAAGAAAATTCAGCACAAAATGTTCAGTTCAGCTTTTTGTCCAAAAAAGAAAACCAAAATCAATAAATTTCTAAAGGTCCATGTCTTCCAAAACAGAAAAAAACAATACATTTTTACTGGAATGGTCCCTTTTTGACTTGGGTTAAAGGCTCTGAATTATTTAAACCAACTGATGCACTTTGCTGCTAAGAATAGAGCTATGTATGTCAAATGAGCAAAAACTCCTGTGTCCTGCACTGAAATATGCAACATTTCCTTTTTTCCCCTTCCCATCACGAACAAGGCATTTGCCATGAGTCATCCTTGCCTTTTCATTATATAAGTTATATTTGCTTAGAGCATATAAATCAATTTAAAGGTGATTATTCAGTTAAAGGGATAGTTCATTAAAAAATGAAAATCTCCTTCACCATTTAGTCACACTCGAGTAGTTCTAAACTTCTACTCATTTCTTGAACTTTGAACAAAAAAACAAGATATTCTGAAGAGAGAAAAGCAGCCATTGACAACTTAAAATATGCAAGTCAATAGCTGTTGTTTTTTTTCCTCATAGTTTTTTGTGATATCTTTCTTTTTGTTCAACAGAAGAAAAAAAACTCAAACATGTTTGGATCAAGTAGAGAATGAGTAAACTATGACTGAATTTCCTTTTTTTTGGGGCAAACTGAACTTTAAAGTACTTTTTATATGCACTTCGTCTTTGCATTGTTTTAGTTGTCACATTCGTTACCTCCTAAAATAGAGATTTAATTGTGGACTTTTACAAACAATTAGAAGCATTTGAAGCAAGACAACAGGTAAAGATATTGTAAATCTGGGGTGCCCAAACTCGGTCCTGCAAAGTTAAGTTCCAAGTCCGATTACACCTGGGCTAACCAAGCTCTTAGGTCTGGGCTGCTCAACCCAGCCTGATTTCACGAGAAAACGCAAGTATTTTACGTTTTGCCAGTTTAGTGGCTAATTCGTACGAATTCGTACGAGTTCAGTCGTACGAAATGGTACTATTTTTAAAAGGAGGCGTGGCACCTGACCCCACCCCTAATCCCAACCGTCATTGGGGGATAAGCAAATCGTACTAAATTGTACGAATTCATACGAATTAGCCACTAAATGAAAAAGTTATGAATTGCCGTGAGATTGTGTTGGCTCAACCCTGTTCCCAGAGATCTACCTTCATGCAGAGTTCAGCTCCAACCCTGACCAAACACACCTGAACTGAATTAAATAGGACCTGATCAGCACTTGATAATTACAGACAGGTGTGTTTGATATGGGTTGCAATTGAAATCTGCAGGAAGGTAGATCTCCCGGAACAGGGTTGAGCACTCCTGTACTAGGCCTTCTAGAAACTTCGGCACAGGTGTGTTGAGGTAGGTTGGAGCTAAAATCTGCAGGACACCAGCCCTCCAGGACCAAGTTTGGGAACCCCTGTTGAAAGTAGTTTTCAGTTTCTGTCACGGACTGATTGCTTTGCTTCAAGACCTCAATGCATTGTCGTGTCAAGAGGAGTAACAAAATGTATGTTGTTTTCCTTGCATTACATGAATCACCAAAAAACAGGGTTTCAACTAAAATAACTTATTTATTGTTCTGCTGAAGAAGAGTCACACACATCTTGGTTTGAGGGTGAATTATCAGCTAATTTTATTTTCAAAGTAACATTTTTTAGGCAAAATGTCAGACATCCTTTGTCTGAAGCATTTATATATAGGGCAACGCAGTGGAGCAGTAGGTAGTGCTGTCACCTCACAGCAAGAAGGTCGCTGGTTAAAGCCTCGGCTGGGTCGGTTGGCATTTCTGTGTGGAGTTTGCATGTTCTCCCTACATACACGTGGGTTTCCTCCAGGTGCTCTGATTTCCCCCACAGTCCAAAGACATGCGGTACAGGTGAATTGGGTAGGCTAAATTGTTTGTAGTGTATGAGTGTGAGTGAGTGTGTATGGAGGTTTCCCAGAGATGGGTTGTGGCTGGAAGGGCATCCGCTGCGTAAAACATGTGCTGGATAAATTGGCGGTTTTTTCGGCTGTGGCGACCTCAGATTAATAAAGGGGCTAATCCGAAAAGAAAATGAATGAATGAAAATATATTCATTCATTTTCTTGTCGGCTTAGTACCTTTATTAATCCAGGGTTGCCACAGCGGAATAAACCACCAACTTATCCGAGGTTCGACCCAGCGACTTTCTTGCTGTGAGGCGACAGCACTACCTACTGCGCCACTGCCTCGCCTATGAAAATATGTATGCATATATAAAACTTTACTAAAATTATAGTTCACTCAAAACTGAAAATTCTGTGATCTACTCATCCTTCGCTTGTCACAAACCTGATTGAGTTTCTTTTCTTCTGGTGAGCTGCTTTCAAAAATATTGTAACCATGGACGACTATAGTATTTGTTTTTTGTTTTTTTCAACTATGTAAGTCAATCGTTACTGGCTTCCAACACCCTTTAAAGAATCTTTTTTTGTGTTCAACAGAAAAAATAAACAAAAACAAGTGCAGGTTGAAGAATTAGTGACAAATTTTCATTTTTGGGTGAATTATGGCTTTAAAATGATAGAAATACTTGCTGTGGAGCCTAACACAGACAGCAGTCCTACTTTAAATACACATTTCTTCTAAAAGGTAATGTTTTGTTTTTCTGACATATTTAATTCATTTGATGTTGATGCCAATTTTAAAGAAATATATTGGCAAATTTACAGGATGGAAAACAGGATCAATGTAACATTATAAAAAATCATTCAAGCAAAATAAAAATCAAAGTAATAAAAATATTAAAGCGTTTAATTATAAAAGGTGTTTAAAATTTAATGTTTATTAATTAAAAAAAATGTGCTTTTGTTATACAACTTTATATCTCTTTAAATGCATTAATTTAAGCATTTTTCTTTTTAAATATAATATTTGGATAAGAAAAATAACCTTGTATTATTAAATATTATAGCCTAAAGATCATGTTCCATGAATATATTCCCATACTGCAAATTCCTATATCAATGTATAATGGGGATCTTTCTCAGTAGATTATTTTAACCATGCAACCTCTAGATTTTCTGCTGTTTTAACCATCAAACTCTAGATTTTCTGTTGTTTTAAACCATGAAACCTTTAGATTTTCTGATGTTTTAACCATAAAACTTTGATTTTCTGTTGCTCAAACAAATTTCATGCATGGTTGCTTCTTGAAGTCTGACATTGATATAAGCTAATTCTGTCAGGCAGAGTTGTACTCAAAAGTTGCGGTTTCTTCAACATTTACAGCTTAGTACTTTCCTCCATTATTTCCCATTCATCCAAAACTCGTCCTACCTGCCAAGAGCTTGACGGAATCTCCTGAAATTTGCCCAGCCCGCCAAAGGTGTAACATCTGTACATGTGATCCAGAGACTCGGAGCAGTGCCACAGGAGCCCGAAACTCACGGAATCCTTATGGTTTTTCGGATGCTCCTTCACTATCCACGCGGGAGAGATGAAGCTGAAGCTGCAAATCGCGACCAAGGCGGAGGACAGGAGAACCCAAAAACACCCGACGCAGCTGAACATCCTCGCGGCGGCGCGGGGCGACGAGAGCGGAGACAGATCGATTCCCAGCCCTTTCCAGTTGCGGTCAAACAGCGCGTGCATCTGGCGCTCAATCACAGCAGACGAGCACCAACAATCACGCAAACACACATGAGTTACCAAAAAAACCCCAAGAGTGCCGAATAACACACGCCTAACTTTTGAGTCCAATGTAATTCCAGCGCGATCCGGTTGAGTGGAGGAGATATTCCGGGTAATTTATCTGATGGGAAGCAGGTGGTGGACAAAAGACAGCCGTCACACCCAGAGCTCAAGCACTCAGAACCGCCGCCAGCAGGTGCTCACTGTGTAGTAAAAGATGCGAGTCCGCTCTGCTTGCGTTTTACTCGCTCATCTTAGCATCATCTTTATCCTCATCCTCTCCGGCTGCAGGAGTGAAGCTCAAACTTACTGCGCCGCACTGAGCGCCTGTTTCTCGGTCACATGGAGGTGGGCGTCACCGCCGCTGCGAATGCGTCCAGAGTTTTGGAGTCATCGCTGATTCAACAGACTTTCCTCTGTAGTTGTTTATCTAATCGTATCTTTCACTCTAAAAATTCAGGGCTCCACACAAACGATTTGACGAAATGAAGAAACAACATGAAGAAATTAAGTTAACTTATTCCATTTTACAAGCTGAAGTCATCACTGCGAATGTGTCCAGAGATTTATGCATACGTTTTTCCTCTGTAGTTGTTTATCTTATGTTATCTTATACTGTAAAAAAAGGGTAAGTTTCACACAATTGATTTGTATTGGGACAACATAAAGAAATTAAGTTAACTTATTCACACCTGCCTGTAATTATCACGTGGTGTTCAGGTCCTAATTTATTGGTTCAGGCGTGTTTGATATGGGTAGCAACTGAAATCTGCAGGAAGGTAGATCTCCAGGAAAAGGGTTGGCCACCCCTGTACTAGATATACTAGAGCAGGGATGTCCAAACTCGGTCCTGGAGGGCCGGTGTCCTGCATAGTTTAGCTCCAACTTGCTTCAACACACCTAGAAGTTTCTATTAAAGAGCTTGATTGGAGGACAGAGTTTGGACACCCCTGTGCTAGAAACTTGCTGGCAGGTGTGTTGAAGCAAGTTGGAGATAAACTCTCAAGGACACGGCCCTCCAGGACCGAGTTTGGACACCCCTGCTCTAGTTGTTTATCTTATCTTGTACTGTAAAAAATGCTGGGTTCCTCACAATCGATTTGTGTTGAGACAACATAAAGAAATTAACTTATTCTTTTTTTACAAATTGGAGTCACAGGCACTGCTCATGTCATGTGTTCAGAGTTTTTGGATTTATCACTGATGCATAAGTCTTTTATCTGTAGTTCCTTTTCATACACTGTAAAAAAAAAATAATTAAAAATACATTTTAAAAACAATTGCTGGGGTTCACACAATCCATTTGTCTTGAGACAACATGAAAAAATGAAACCCTTCACAAAAAAAACCCCCAAAGATAATAAAAAAAAAGTAGTTTGAACAAACAGCAAACATTAATTTATTTAATTATCCTCGTTCTTTCTTATTGTATTTCTATATGTTTGAATTATTATCTATTTTGTTTTGTTAAATTATTACTATGATTGTTATATTACTATTTTCCTGTGTGTGTGTGTGTGTGTGTGTGTGTGTGTGTGTGTTTGTTTGTTACTTGAAGCATTAATAAAAATAGAAAGTTTCTGATTCATGAATTCTTTTGATAAGCATAACAGAATATAAAGGCGATTATTTGTTATTATTGGGAAAATATTTAATTAACAAATGCCACTTTTGTTCACACGTGGCCCACCTGCAGAATTGTCTGACTTAAATAAAGCTACTCAACCAAAAAAATTAAATAAAAAATGAAACTGTGATCTTTTAAATAGCCCAATTTGTAATTTTCCCTTAATTTTCACTTAAATTTGATCTATTATGATTTTATGTCAAATTTATTCGGTAACACTTTATTTGAATGGTCCAGTAGACAGTAGACTGTCTGCTTAATATCTTAATGTCAATATTAATACTGACATTCAAGATACTTTGCAAGTACATGTCAACTTACACCAACCCCAACCAAACAGTCTACTTATAATTTAATGAGAATTAGTTGACATGTTGATGCAATACTTAATACTTAACTAAATTCAACAAACAGACCATCAAAATAAAGTCTGACCATTTATTTTTTTATTATTATTTAATATTGTCTTTCTGTTTTACTTTTGTATTCATAATGCCATCCTATATGCTTAGTTGTTGAAATATATTAAATAAGTTTTTGATGAATTCATTCATTCATTTTCTTTTCGGCTTAGTCCCTTTAGTAATCTGGGGTGAACTGCCAACTTATCCAGCGGATGCCCTTCCAGCTGCAACCCATCTCCGGAAAACATCCACACACACTAATTCACACTCATACACTACAGACCTACCTAATTCACCTGTACCGCATGTCTTTGGACTGTGGGGGAAACCGGAGCACCTGGAAGAAACCCACGCGAATGCAGGGAGAACATGCAAACTCCACAAAGAAACGCCAACTGATCCAGCCAAGGCTTGAATCAGCGACCTTCTTGCTGTGAGGCGACAGCACTACCTACTGCGCCGCCCAAGTTTTTGATTCATAAAAAAATTTAATACTTGTGTGATTTTCAAGGCCTCTCTTTTGTAAAAGAGTAATAAAGTCATGCATTCATGATAGTTTGTATGTCCTGAATTTAGCCTCAACAGACTTGCACCCATATTATGTGACCCTGGACCACAAAACCAGTCTTACTGTGCACATGTATATTTATGACAATAACCAAATATATTGTATGGGTCAAAATTATAGATTTTTTAAAGGTCATGTTTCATGAAAATATTTAGAAATTTCCCTACTGCAAATTCCTACATTAAAACTCTTTTATTATTAGCAATGTGCAAACTTTAATGGTGCTTTTTCAGTATTTAGATAGATATTTTAAACTCCAGATTTTCAAATAGTTGTTTCAGCAAAACATTGTCCTATCTTATCAAACCATACAGCAATGAAATCCTTATTTATTCAGAAATCTAAATATAAAAAAATTCAGTTATTAATGTTTTTAAACCACATAGTATAAAACCATTTTAATACAGCAATCTTAACTTATACGCTGTAAACAACAGTAAAGATTTATATTTGAGCTTTATCTCGTATTAGGAATTCTTTTGACTGATGTGCAAAAGCTTATCGTGTCTTACACCGCCCTCTGGTGGTGATGATGTACTTATTCTGGGCGCTTTTGTTTTTTGCACTATATGGAGAAATGGGGAAAAACTTAAATAGATGTAGTATTGGTCATTGTAATTGATCAAATATAGAGTTTTATAGTTATATTTGGCTAAAACATGTTTACAAACTTGCGTCTTGAGTCCTGGGGGTCTGTGGAAATTTGGATTTGCAAAAGCATAATGATAAATTATTAAATCATTTAAATAATAAATAATGCCATAAAAATTCACATGAACAATTGTGGATTTTACACTAGCATGACAAAAAAAAACATATAAAATAGTAATTATCTAATTTGAAAATGATTACAATCCAAATAGGCAAATTCCTTATTATTCCTTATTTAATCTGAATAAAAGAATAAAATGTTATGCATATTATTTATTAGTTTAAAACAAATACATATTTAAATGAACAATAAAAACTTAAGCATGTACTATAACGGCTGAACCAGTAAAAGTGTACCTTGATATAGAATAACTGAAGTTTTCCAAATAACATTTTATATTTATTTTTAATCTTATTAATTATCATTTGGATTGTTATGAAAGCCTGTCGATGGCATTTACATTTTTGTATGAGGGGTTTGTGATGAAAATTATTAATATGGTGTAAAAATTGATTTACATATGTTTGTGAAACACATTTAAATAATTTTTATCCTTTTTTTTCATCACTTCCAGGGTCTCTGATCCCCTTCATCAACATACCGTACTATCTTTCAAATACACTCACCGGCCACATTATTAGGTACACCTTACTAGTATCAGGTTGGCCTCCTTTTTGCCATCAGAACTGCTTTAATCCTTCGTGGCATAGATTCAACAAGGTACTGGAAATATTTCTCAGAGATTTTAATCCATATGGTCATGATAGTGTCACACAGTTGCTGCAGATTTGTCGGCTGCACATCCATGATGTGAATCTCCCGTTCGACCACATCCCAAAGGTGCGTTATAGGATTGAGATCTGATGACTGTGGAGGCCACTTAAGTACAATCAGTGAACTCATTGTCATGTTCAAGATAGCAGTCTGAGATGATTCGTGCTCTATGACATGGTGCATTATCCTGCTGGAAGTAGCCATCAGAAGAAGAGTACACTATGGACATAAAGGTATGGACATGGTCATGGAAGCGTTGTGCGTTCAGAGATGCTCTTCTGCAGAGCTCGACTGTAGCGAGACGTTATTTGAGTTACTGTTGCCTTTCTATTAGCTCAAACCAGTCTGGCCATTCTCCTTTGACACCAACAATGCATTTGCGCCCACAGAACTGCCACTCACTGGATATTTTCTTTTTCAGAACATTCTCTGTAAATCCTAGAGATGGTTGTGCATCAAAATCCCAGTAGAGCAGCAGTTTCTGAAGTACTCAGACCAGCCCGTCTGGCATGAACAAAAATGCCACGTTCAAAGTCACTTAAATCACCTTTCTTACCGATTCTGATGCTCGGTTTGAGCTTGAAACTAGAAATTGAAAGCTACACGTGTATTTTTATAACAGTAACTGTTTTAAGGTCTACTACTTTAAAAGGCATAATTTTTATAAAATAAACGTTTTTAGTTTGTAATGTTACAATGTTTGAATATTTGGTGATCAAAAATATTTTTAAAATGTTAAGATTAAAATCTCTTATAAAATAGAAGGTAAAATGATATTGCCATGATATCCATGATATTGCCGATATAAAACTGTATTTATAACCAGATATCAGGGAACAAAACTCCCTGATATTTTATGACTTAGGACAAAATAAAAATCAAGTCAACTTTGAAAGTCTTGAATAGACTTTTAAAATTCCATGATATTCCAGAAATTCCTTGTATTATGAATACAATCCTGGAGTATTTTAATGAATAGTTTTCCACAAAAGTGAACTCCCTAGCCAATGAGAATCTTTCTCTGTAAGCCCTGCTCTTGAGGAAAAAAATTAAGTTTAATACAGTGTATACAGAAAGTCAATTTTTCCACATTTCTTTTCTGTCACAGCCTTTTCCAAAATGGATTAAATTCATTTATTTGCTCAAAATTCGACACACAATACCCTATAATGACAATGTGAAAAAATATTTGGTCCCACTTTATATTAAGTGGCCTTAACTAATATGTACTTACATAGGAAGTAATAGTTTGTTACAATGTACTTTTTGTGTAAATACATGTATTTACTTTGTACTTATGCTTGATTAAATACATGTATGTAATTACATCTGTAATTAACTTCTGTAATTACATTTGTAAATACACTGTTGACCATCCCTTACTACTTAACCCACCCTTAAACTTACCCATGCCACCAAACCTGTCCATAACCCAACCTCTATTCCAACTCAAAAGCACCACAAGTGTTCTCAAATACATTATAAAAACAGTAAGTACATTGCATTTATTTTTTTTATGTAAGTACATAGTAGTTAAGGCCACTTAATATAAAGTGGGACCAAATATTTTTTTTAATTGTTGCAAATTTACTAAAAATAAAAAAGTTGAAAAATTACATGTACATCAGTATTCACAGCCTTTGCCGTGAAGCTCTAGATTGAGCTCCGGTACATTCTGTTTCCACTGATCATTCTTGAGATGTTTCAGCAGCTTAATTGGAGTTCACCTGTGGTCAATTCAGTTGATTGGACATGATTTGAAAAGGCATACGCCTGTCTATATAAGCTCCCAGGGTTGACAGTGCATGTCAAAGCACAAACCAAGCATGAAGACAAAGAAATTGTCTGTATCAACCGTAAGTGGAAGATGTTTGAAACCACCAGGATTCTTCCTAGAGCTGGCCGGCCATCTAAGCTGAGTGATCGGGGGAGAAGGGCTCTAGTCAGGGAGGTGATCATAACCCGATGGTCACTCTGTCTGAGCTCCAGTGTTCTTCTATGGAGAGAGAAGAACCTTACAAAAGGATAACCATCTGTGCAGCAATCCACTACCATACAGGCCTGATTAGAGTGGCCAAACAGAAGCCACTCGCCGCCTGGAATTTTCCAAAAGGCATCTGAAGGACTCTCAGACCATAAGAAACTAAATTCTCTGGTCTGATGAGACTAAAATTGAACTCTTTGGAGTGAATGCCAGACGTTAGGTTTGGGGAAAACCAGGCAGCGCTCTTCACCAGGCTAATGCCATCCCTATAGTGAAGCATGGTGGCAGCAGCAACTGGAAGTGGAACTGGAAGACTAGTCAGGATAGAGGGAAAGATGAATGCAGCAATCTACAGAGACATCCTGAATCAAAACCTGCTTCTGAGTGCTCTTGATCTCAGACTGGACCTGAGATCAAAGTAACTCTGTGAATGTCTTTGAGTGGCTGAGCCAGAGTCCAGACCTAAATCCTATTGAACATCTCTGGAGAGATCTGAAAATGGCTGTACACAGTCACTTTCCATCCAACCTGATAGAGCTTCAGAGGTACTGCAAAGTGGAATGGGCAAAACTTCCCAAAGACAGGTGTGCCAAGCTTCATATTCAAAAAGACTTAAGGCTGTAATTGCTGCCAAAGGTGCATCAAAGAAGAATTGAGCAAAGGCTGTGAATACTGATGTACATGTGATTTTTCAGGTTTTTTATTTTTAATAAATTTGCAACAATTTCAAAAACTCCTTTTTCACATTGTCATTATGGGGTATTGTGTGCAGAATTTTGAGGAAATAAATTAATTTAATCAATTTCGGAATAATTCTGTTACATAAAGAAATGTGGAAAAAGTGAAGCGCTATGAATACTTTGCGGATGCACTGTATAAGTGCAGTTTGAAATCTAAAATATGGACTTTGTCGAAAGCTTTATAGCATGAGTGCAAATGCTTATTCAATCTAACAAAAAAAGACAATGCGTCGAGAGACATTTCAACAATATATGTATTTAAATCAAACACATTTAAATATATTATAGATTAAGTACACATATATGTCAGAAAACATATTAGTGGTACATAGTACCAAAAGTCTTTTGCCTGTTTCTCGTCTGCATCTCAATGAGGTCCAAAGCAATAACTTCATGTCCAAGCACACGTTTGAAAATGAACAGTCATCACTGAGATTTGCTTAGACAGAGTTTGACATATCATACAAAAGAAGAAGAAAAATGAAGACAGTCAATCACCATAAAAGAACTAACATTAATATATGGCGGTAAACCACATTTATACAGAACGGGCATAGACATTGCTCTAGCAGTTCAGTTTCGGTGTATCTCTACAGTCTAGAATCAGATGCGGACAGAGTCGGAGAGGGAGAGAAGGGTCATTGGTTCTCATTCCAGTTCGAACTGTAACATCAGTCGCTTCAAATCCATGAGAGACAGACAGAACAGCCTCAGACAATGACCGACTGGCATACCGTAAATCGAAATAAAACTGTACACAGCCATCCGGGGTATTTCTGCATTTGTGTTTTTCTGTACTAAATAAAAAGCCTAGGCATTTCATAACCACTCTTTCTTAAAAAGTGAACATGAAAGATAAAAGAGACGTGTCAGATAAGAACTAAGTTGAGGAAGGGAAAACATTTAAAGGGATGGTCTACCCAAAAATGAAAAATGACTCTGTTTACACTGTAAAAATGCTGGGTTCAGCTCAATTCCTTCATCTTGTCTCAACACAAATCAATTAAGTTAACTTAATCTTTTTTTTAAGTGGATTGAACATAAAACAAATAAAGTTGCCCCCCCTAAAAAAAAATTAAGAATTGTGCTTTCAACTGATTTTAAATAAGTAGTGTAAACAAACTAAACAAAACTTTGTGTTTCTGTCTTCTTTTAAACACAAAAGAAGATATTATAAAGCTGAAAACATGCAGCCACAGACTTCCATAGTAAAAAGAAACAAATGATACACTGTTAAAAAAGTTGACTGAGCTTAAAATTGTAAGGCAAATTTCCCTGCAGTGCTTTTTGAGTCGACCGAGTCAAGTACAATACTTGTGTTAAAAGTTGAGTCAACTAAAAAAAAAACATGCATCAAGTTACCTTGCAATTTTGAGTTGTCACTTTTTTTTTTTTTTTTACAGTGAATTGGTGTCAATGGTTACAGGTTTTAAACATTCTTCAAAATATCTCCTTCTGTATTTAACAGAAACTCAAACAAGCAAAATGTGAGTAAACGATGACAGAATTTCCATTTTTGGATCAACTATTTCTTTAAGTAGACACCATTTCCTGTTCAGATTACAGGAAGGATAAAAGAAACGTGTCAGATAAGAACTAAGTTGAGGAAGGGAAAACATTTTCAGAGATAGTTCACCCAAAAATAAAAAAATGACTGTTTACACTATAAAAATGCTGGGTTCAGCTTAATTCCTTTAACTTGTCCCAACACAAATCAATTAAGTTAACTTAATCCTTTTTAGAAATTGAAATGGATTGAACATTATTAAGTTGTCCCCCCAAAAAATTAAGAACTGTGTTGTTTCAACTGATTGTAAATAAGTAATAGTAAAAGTCCTTTTCTAAGCGTAATCTACCTTATGTGGTTCCAAAACTTTGTGGTTCTTTCTTCTTTTAAACACAAAAGAAGATATTTTGAAGCTTAAACTGCAACTGCAACTACTGACATCCACAGTAAAAAACAAATGCTACACTGTTAAAAAGTTGGCACAACTTAAAACTGTAAGGCAACTCCCCCGTGCTTTTTTAAGTTGACTCAACTTAAACTGAGTCAAGTGCGATTATTGGGTTAAAAGCTGAGTCAACTCAAAAAAAACCTGTGCAGCAAGCAGCCTTACAATTTTAAGTTGAGTCAACGTTTTTAACACTGTATGGGTTTAATAGTTACAGTTTTTAAACATTCTTCAAAATATCTTCTTCTGTGTTTAACATAAAACTCAAAGTAAGCAAAGTGTGAGTAAACATTGATAGAATTTCCATTTTTGGATGAAACATCCCTTTAAGTATACACCATTTCCTGTTCAGATTACCAAGCGCTTCCTGTTGGTCAACATGGTAAGAAGTTGGTTTTGAAATTCAGTGTTCATTCAGTCTTGTTCTGAGCGTTGGTCTGCTGCATAACAGCTCTGCGTATTTAGTCCAACTTGTTTCGCTACTCATCAAATAATAATAATAAACACAAATATCCTTGGGGGTGGATCGTATTTTGGCTATTAGTGTGCAAACCTAAACACTCACGCTCTCAAACGGTCACATGCAGGAAGTGATGGAATGCCTCGATCAGTCCTCACGGATATGTTAATGCAGCTCGGCTGAGTGTTCCGTCTTCAGGCCGTTCACTTCAGGAGGGCATCAGGAGCTGCGCCCACACTCACACAGACGGTCATAGCTGGAAAAATAAATCAATCAAATCAATAAATAAAACACGCAACACAGGGGTTTGTTCAAACTACTTATTTAAAATGAGCTGAAATAACGCAATTCTTGTGGGGTTTCTGTGACAATTTAATTGTTTTTTGTTATATCCACTTAACTTTGTAACAACTAATAGGGTAACTTAATTAACCAAATCACATTTTTTAAAGTGCACTTCAGTGTGGGGACAAATTTGCACTTTTAACCGACTATTAACTAAGATGTTTGCCTCAATAATCTTAAGGCTTAGTGTTTTTCTCTAAATAAATGTAATTACATGGTAAACTTTTCCAGAATGCCAAAATGTTCCTTACTGGGTAAATTAGTATCCATCCATTCATTCATTTATTTTCCTTCAGCATAGTCCCTTTATTCAAAGGGTCCCTTTATTCATACGTTTTATATAGTGGATGCTCTTCCAGCTGCAACCCAGTACTGGGAAACATCCATACACATTCACACACACAGTCATACACTTCAACCAATTTAGTTTATTCAGTTCACCTATAGTGCATGTCTTTGGACTCTACATAGAAATGTCAACTGGCCCAGTTGGGACTCGAACCTGCAAACATCTACAATTTTTACTGAGTAAATTGTCCTCTCGCTTCTCTTACGTATTTACAAAATATTTTTCCATTGCTCATTTCTTATTGCATTTAGTTTGTTTGAAATGAATAAATCTGAATAAATGCCATCTTCAAATAACCAGATAAAAGAACATTTTAGAGCATTGCAATTTGGCAAGAGACTAAATCTGGTGAATGTGAGGACAAAACTAATAGAAATGTACTTTTGTTGCTTTTACTTCAGGACTTCCATGGTGTCCCTGCTGCATGACATCATTGACGATCATCTTTGCGATCTTCCACGCCATCTCTTCTTGTGCCTGAAACACAACAAATGTATATATATATATACCATGAACCATACTTAAATCATCTAAAATCCACCTATTTAAAATACATTAAAGGGGTCATGACTAGGCCCACACAGAATCTGCGCACACAGAATTCCGCAGATTTTCCGCAGATTTCTGGAGATTTTTACCCCATTATTTATTCTATTTATTTACTTGAGTAAAAGTGTAAATATGAATTTATTCAGTTTTTTTCAGTAATTTATTACTTTTTATTTAATATATTAAGGTTTTAGTTATGATACTCCGCTGGATACTCTCAAAATAATTCCGCAGAAATCAGCAGATTTTTAAAAAAATTCTCAGCAGAAATAGCAAAAATGGTCAGCAGATTCCGTCTGGCCCTGTTCATGACATGTGAAATCAAAATAACATCACAACTTTATTAACACTATAAGTGAACCTCAAAACACATATAAAAAAATAAATAAATCCACATCATGACCACTTATAAAATAATTATTGTATATGTAATTTGAAAGCAAAAGCCAGGAGCACACCTCATCTGAGTTTCCTTGAACCCATTTCTTCATTGCTAGAGAAAACATGGAACCTGTTAGGAAGAGAACAAAGCGAGAGTGTGAGCGAGCGGGACAGAGCTGCGAATCCTGCTTTTTTCACTGCTCTTCACAGCAATCACACACATCACCGGCTACTTATCGCCATGGCAACACCCTCTCCACTCTCAAACTGAAGACTACAAAAGCTCTTCAAGCACAAGTCACTCATAACCGAGAGCCAACTCACAGAATACACAACATGTGCAAGAGTGCGTGTGTGTCTGAGGGAAGAAAACATTCTTTAAGAGTCAGTGTGTGTGTGTATGTGTGTGTGTGTGTGTGTGTGTGTGTGTGTGTGTGTGTGTGTGTGGTGTCGTACCCTTGGACTTCTTCACGTCTGGTTCTGGCTCAGCCTCTCTGATGAACTGGCCCAGCTCATTCACCTTTCCAAAGGTCATTCTTCTGAGATAAAAGCAAGAAAGACTGAAGCTGGGTCTGAATGAATTGTTTTGTGTATAACATGATAAACATCAGCAAAAAGGATCATTCTTTAGAGAGGCTTTTACTTGTTCATGCCACAAATAAAAACTCAGAATTGTTATTAAGTTATCAGAAAGCATTATACTGTTAAAAACAAAAAAGAAACATACAATAATTGCATCTGCGTATGTATATATTGCTATGGGTGTGATATTGCATTTATACAACAGTTCAACGGCATATTCTTGTGAGTCTCAAAAACCCTTTTGTATGAGGAACTACTTTCTTCCACTACTCCTTTACATCTGCAGCTGACGTCAGAACAGCGGAAGCCGTTGCTACTTTGCCAACATCACTTCAGGGCTAGTGTTTGAAAGATTCTCTAGCGTAATGTCTAAATTGATGACAAAACAGGTAATTTTGCTCACATTTTAAAATTAGGGGAAAAAAGTAAAGCTGAACAACATGAAATACCATCAGTCTACAGAGATATCTCCCAGGATTTTTCTGTTGCATAAAGGGAGATCACAACATTACTATGGTATAAATGCAGCACTTCAACATACAAAACAGAGAGATCAACATAGAAAGTAATTTATATGTTTAATAATGATTTGATCAGCTGAAGTTTGAAATTACGCTTATTATGCGGTCTCTGTTGCCATCTTGTGGATGAACATCGTCAACTGTCTTTGCTAAAGGAACGCGCTGCCTCTCAAAATGATAAATATTTTAAAATAGGCACTATTCTTATAAATAAACTGCATGGTTGCAATCTAAACAACTACGTTCTCGTCTAAAAAAGCATCAAAAGTACATTATGTTGTGCAACAGCTGCAGTATTTGTCACTTTGACACTGTAGAGTGTCCTCTGCTTGTTGCTGTATGTGGGTGGAGTAATACAAGGGTGAAGGGTAAGGAGGCTGGACAAGTGCTGCTACTGGAAGAATATTGCACGGCTATCAGCCAATCAGATTCAAGAACCAGACAGAACTGTTGTATATATAAATTTATAAAATAGTTCTGTCTGGTTCTCGAATCTGACTGGCTGATAGCCGTACGATATTCTGCAATATCAGAACTTGTACAGCCTCTTCACTCTTGTGTTTTACTCCGCCCACACAAGTGGCAAGCAGGACCTAAAGTTATAATATTGCAGCTATTGGACAACGTAATATACTTTTGAGGCTTTTTTTATGTACTTTTAAAAGTTTTTATGTACTTTTAATGTACTTTTGAGGCTTATGTTTATATTGTACATATACATATATATATATATATATTTATTGGCAGCATGTAATTACTGTAACTGATGCTGTTGGGGAGGGGACAGGAAAGGGTAAAATAAAAGGAAGTAAAAATGTGTAAACTGAGCGTACTGATAAATTATTAAAGAAAATAAACAAATTTGAATAATAAAAAAAACAGTATTAAACTGGAAAAAACAACAACACTAAAATAACTTGTAAAAAATAAAAATGTAAAATAAGACCTTTTGAAAATATCTCAACTGTTGTTGTAATCTACACTCTAAAATAAAGGTACAAAAGCTGTCACAAGGGGTAAGCACCTTTTCAAGTGTGTCAAAGAGAACACTTTTGTACTTAAAGTGACTAATATATACACTTTAGAAACAATCATATAATTTTAGGATACCAATATGGACTTTTTAAATACAAACATGTACTTGGAACACAAACAGAGCTGAGATCAAGATCATAATGCATTTTGAAAGAGTAAATTAAACCAAACAAACAAAAACTCATAAATAAGTTAACAGAAACTGATAATTAACATATTTGTTTTCTTTCTCAATGATGCGCAAATGGTTCAGTGCATTAAAACATGATAAAATAATGACGAATCCTTACTATTACTCTTACTTACTGTATATTCTTATGATCCATCAACCTAGTGACTAGAAGTGTAGTATGAAAAAGATAACTGGAAAAGAATTGGACTACTCATTAATAACATTATACCTTGGGAAAATACCAGAAGTTATTCCAACTATTGACAAGTACCTAATTCAAATCCTATTGGTAAGTAGCAGAAAAGCCATAACTCAAAAATGGTTACAGGCTGACCCTCCAACACGGGCTCAATGGATAGGAGTTGTAAAGGAAATACACTATATGTAGAGATTCGCTTTTAAACTAAGATTTGATAAAAAAGTGTACCAAGTACTGAAAAAAATGGTCTGAATATGTCATTGTAAACAATTTGTGATAATGTATGTGAAACGTATCATGACTTGATTCTGTAACCCTTACAACAACCACTTTGTTCTGTTCTTTTTTTTCCCCTCATCTCTTAAAAAAAAAAAAAGAAAAAGAAAAAAGAAAAAAAAAAAGAAGTGTAGTATGAGTGTCAGACTCACCCAGCATATGGTCTCTGATAGAGAGACTCAGGGTCCAGACTGGCGATGTCCACAGTTATCGCCTCATCGAAGTTCTTCAAGATCTTGATTGCTGCTTTTTTAGTACCTTGCTGCAACTGAAAGCGTAAAAATGGAAACATCAGGAAAAAAAAAAAACATTTGTGCAAGCATATTGTCAATGAACCCTAATAAAAATGAGCAACATGGGCCTCTAGAGAATCACCTGGACGTGTGACCCTTCTGTAACGCTCGAGTTGCGCTCGCCTTCCTGGGTCCAGCCCTGGTTCGGAGTGTTGGCATTTCCTCCAATGAACTCATCCACCCGTACAGAGTTAATAAGGTCGCTTAAATACTTGTAGTAAAGGTTGCTTGACAGAAAGCCTGGCATGTAAACCTGAGGTTGAGAGAACATGAAACATTGACTAGGAAAGTCACAGGGCCAATCCCAATTAATTTTTTTTTGGTAAAGTATTATGACGACATAACTGACCTTCTCCATGGTGGTCCAGGCCTGTCTCAGTGGAGTGTTAAAGCAGTCTGGAAGAGGTCCGCCTTCTCGACAGATATTAGATTCAATCTCCATCCGTACAGAGTCACCAAAACCCAACGGATTTGTTGCTTGGAGTGAAAAATACCTAAACAGATCACACGATTTGTTGAGTCTATCGAGAGTAACAATTTTGAGCTTGGTACATCGTAAACAGTAAAAAGAGGTATGAGCAAAATTACAGTCTCACTAGACAAGGACATTCACTGAGTTGTTGTGAAGCCACTCCATTGATATTTTGGCAGTGTGCTTTGGGTCATTGTCCTGCTGGAAGATAAACTGTTGCCCCAATCTGAGGTCAAGAGCACTCTGAGGCAGGATTTCATTCAGGATGTCTCTGTACATTGCTGCATTCATCTTTCCCTCTATCCTGACTAGTCTTCCAGTTCCTGCTGCTGAAAAACATCCCCACAGCTTGATGCTGCAGCCACCATCCTTCACTATAGGGATGGTATTAGCCTGGTGATGAGCGGTGCCTGGTTTTCTTCAAGCATAACGCCTGGCATTCACTCCAAAGAGAATTTTAGTCCAATCAGACCAGAGAATTTAGTTTCTTGTGGTCTGAGAGTCTATCATATGCCTTTTGATAAATTCCAGGCAGGGAGTGGCTTCCGTCTGGCCACTCTACTATACAGGCCTGATTGGTGGATTGCTGCACAGATGGTTGTCCTTCTGTAAGTTTCTTCTCTCTCCACAGAAGAACATGGGAGCTCAGACAGAGTGACCATCGGGTTATTGATCACCTCCCTGACTAAGGCCCTTCTCCCCTGATTACTTAGCTTAGATGACTGGCCAGCTCTAGGGAGAGTCCTGGGGCCTCATGTATCAACGCTGCGTACGCACAAAAACTTTGCGTACGCCAGGTTTCACGCTCAGAATCGCTCACGTTTGGATTTACTAACAATGAACTGAACGTGGGAATGTGCGCAGCTCCATGGCAGCTTTATGGCTGGCGTACGCACATTTTTTGTGCGTGTCTGTTTTATTTCCATTGGCGACTCCTAGAGGCAGTTGTGTTAAATTCCTCTCTACAAAGTGTCTGAGCCTTGCAATGGCAGCTGTATGAGACGGGTTATTCTAGCAGGTATATAAGGTTTCCATACCATACAGTTGACCAGCTAAACATTAAAGCACAATTTGCAGCGGTCGCCTGTTTTCCCAATGTAATCTGAGCTATCTACTGCACGCACATTGCTATAAATACACTATCTGAAGATGAATTTGCATGCGTGAATCAGACACATTTCCATTCAATAAATGTGCAAATAAAATATGATGTACAAACTTATTAATGATTCCTACTTGTCTTTCTCGTGATAAATAGTTAGCAAAATCTAATATGTAGCGGGGGAAAAAAGAAGAAAGAGTTTATCAGACGCTGGATTCCAACCAAGTTCATGCTTGAACGTGTCAAAACATGCACACATGCGTCTTACAAGCGCGCCACTGAGACTGTTAAGGATACTGCAACAGTTTACACCTATGAATCACAATATTTCTTTTATAATTCACTCAGTGCGATGTTCAGACCCAACTGTGTTAACCGCATCAGCTTAACTCTCCCACTCTATTTTTTTTCTTTTGTTGTTAATTCCGGAGAACAAACTTGCAAATAACACCGCTTTTCTCCGGTCTACCTCCGAAAGCAGCACCTCCAATTCACACTGTTCAAAGTTTCTATTTTTGCCTGCTTTTGCCGTTGCTTTTTCGTTGGGTTTTTCCAAAGTAGAGTCATTAGCATATTCATACGGGGGAGGAGGCAGGGAGGGGTTTCGTGCTCGTGCATGTTACGCTCAGTTTCACGTTCATTCAGATGTACAAAAGAATATGCGTGAGACTCGGCGTACGCAGTGTTTCATACATCTGAATTTTTTTCTGCGTACGCACATTTACAGCTTTGTGCGTACGCAATGTTTTAGTATGATTTCCACATAAGTCTTCGTACATGAGGCCCCTGGTGTTTAAAAACATCTTCCACTTATGGATGATGGAGGCCACTGTGCTCATTGGAATTTTCAGAGCAGCAGAAATCTTTCTGTAACCTTCCCCAGCCTTGAGACAATCCTGTCTCGGAGGTCTACTGACAAATCCTTTCTCTTCATGGATGGTTTGTGCTTTGACATGCAATGTCAACCCTGGGAGCTTATATAGACAGGTGTATGCCTTTTCAAATCATGTCCAATCAACTGAATTGACCACAGGTGAACTCCAATTAAGCTGCTGAAACATCTCAAGAATGATCAGTGGAGACAGAATATACCAGAGCTCAATTTAGAGCAGGGATCACCAAACTTGTTCCTGAAGGGCCGGTGCCCTACAGATTTTAGCTCCAACTCTAATCAAACACACCTGAACAAGCTAATCAGGAGCTGCGTCCCAAATCGCATACTTATGCACTATTCTACGCCATTTTGTAGTATAAATAGTGTAAGTAGTGCGTTCACACTGAAAACACTAAAAATAATGAGAGCACTTGAATTACCCGGATGATGCACTCATTCAGCCGCTAAAATGAAGTGTGGTATGATGGACACTTCACGCACTCAACGACCGCAGGTTTGCTTACGTAGCGGAAGGGGCGGAGCTATCGGACGCACATGTTGAATAACTTTATTTAATTTGGATGGTGAAAGCAAAATTCTTTTACGAGAGTGATTATAGCGCCTCCCGATGGTGAATGCGGCAATACTCACGGCAGGTTTTACTTGATAGTTTGGTCATTTATTTCAATGATTTGGCAACCGTCAAACGTCATCAGGGAAACGGTTTGAATTTCCGCTTAGTAAAAAAACATTAGTGTGCCATTTGGGACAACACTACATACATATACTTTCCTGTTGAGTGTGTAAGTGCATAAGTACATAGTGCATGAGTGCATAGTGTATAGTGTGCCATTTGGGATGCAGCTAAGGTCTTACTAGGTATACTTGAAACATCCAGGCAGGTGTGTTGAGGCAAGTTGGAGCTAAACCCAGCAGGGACACCGGCCCTCCAGGACCGAGATTGGTGACCCCTGATTTAGAGCTTCACGGCAAAGACTGTGAATACTGATTTACATGTGATCTTTCAGGGATTTTTATTTTTGATAAATTTGCAACAATTGCAAAAAATCTTTTCACATTGTCATTAAAGGCTGATTTATACTTCCGCGTCAAACGCCGGTGTATGCTACGGCGCTGGCGCATAGCCCATCGCCGTGGCCATCAGCGTCGCTGACTTACACCCCTCAAAAAATGTAACTACACGTCGCAACAACGCGTAGCGTAAGCTCTGTGATAGGTCTGCTTGGTAGCGCTGACGAGTCTGGGCGGGACCGAGAGCCGCGCGAATGGCGCGAGCGATTGTTTAACTTACAAGTGTGGAGTCCCGTGAAGGAGCTCCTGATGGAAAGTTTTGTTTTGTGTTTACCTCATAGTTAAAGTTGTTGCACGTCCGCCGGTTCCTGCATCAAAATGAGCGAGTTTGAGCCACTTGTTCATCCCGGAAGTGTTCAGAAAAGCAAAACAGCAGCGAAGAAACTCGACACAGAGGAAGATTTAAACCTCACTGCCAACTACCGTTTCGTAAGTGTTAATGTAGACCAACAGAAACAGCGTGCATTGCGTTGCATGCGCCGTGGGTTACGCCGGTCACTTGACGCAGAAGTATAAATCAGGCTTAAGGGGTATTGTGTGTAGAATTGAGAAAATAAGTTAATTTAATGAATTTTGGAATAAGGCTGTAACATAAAAATGTGAAAAAGTGAAGCGCTATGAATACTTTATGGATGCACTGTACTGTACCTAATCTAATCTTTATTTTTGTTTTTCTATTGGATTCAAGTCAGGTGATTGGCTGGGCCATTCTACTATTTTATTTTCTTTCTTTGAAACACTGAAACAAAATTATACAGTGTTACTGTTTTACTGTAAGTCTTAATACAGCTTTGCAATGGATTAGTAACATTTTAGGAAAATACCATCTGAATGATTGACAACAGGCGATATGGTGGAGCAGTGGATTACGCTGTCACCTCACAGCAAGAAGGTGGTTCGAGCCTCAGCCAGGTCAGTTGGCATTTCTGTGTGGAGTTTGCATGTTCTCCCCGTGTTCACGTGAGTTTCCTCCGGGTGCTCCGGTTTCCCCCACAAGCCCAAAAACATGTGAACGGGTGAATTGGGTATGCTAAAATTGACTGTAGTGTATGCATGTGAATGAGTGTGTATGGATGTTTCCCAGTGATGAGTTGCAGCTGGGAGGGCATCCGCAGCGTAAATCATTTGCTGAATAAGTTGTCGGTTCATTCCGCTCATGACCGCAAAAAGACAATAATTTCTAGACGATCAGACAAATTTAAATCAACTACCAACAAAATTAACTTTTCTAAAATGGAAAAATGCTTTTATTTTACTTCATTATTATTAAATAGTTGCACAAAAAAGAGAAGTTATCCAAAGTTTTTCTCTTTTTCATAGTACCATCATTTAACATAACAATTAAAAACTCAATTTATGTATGACTTTCCAATTTGACGACCATCCCTAATAGTAGGCTAAATTGAACTGAAGTTCAAAACGTACGTACTTGTCATAGAGGATCATTGCATCATTCTGGGCTTCCTGTCCATCATACTGGCCTTTTTTGGCAGCCAACTGATCTTGAAAATTTTCTGCAGCCAGCCAGAACTGCAGCACGTTCATCGCATCCTCCTTTTCCATGTACTGCATTGGAACGCACGCACACACGCACACGCGCACACGCACACACGCACACACGCACACACGCACACACGCACACACGCACACACACACACACACACACACACACACACACACACACACACACACACACACACACACTTTGAATTAGGTTTCAATCCCACTTTATAATCCCTTGCCACTTCAAATGCACTTGGATCAGAAATCCATCAATTTATACGCACACTTGCACTTTTGGTACAGTTAGAAACAGGTTTTGGGCAGACTGTCGAGCTCAGCATATTTCCTGTGCTTAGACAGCTCCATGCATAAATTTAACTTCAAACGGGACACATAATATCAGGACACATAAAACACTTAAAATCCAATTTTGAAGCACGTTTAAAAAGTAAAGCACGTCATATATTATGCAACATCTATACATATATAATTTAAAATGCATCTAAAAAGGATATCTTCACATATATTTCAGTTAACTACAAGTTAACCATATTTAAAGTTGCATTCATTCCTTTAAGAGTGTCCTCACCTCAGAGAAGTAGAAGAGGGCTGATTCGCAAAAGAGGATGTCCGCCAGGAACACCGAACCGCTGGTCAGCACCTCGATCTGGTACTTACAGAAATAATGGCTGCGCAAAAACTCAGTAAAGTGCCTGCGAAAGGGATGCCAGACATTTTTAAGTGCAGGAAGAAAAGAAGCTGGATAAGCCAATTTCTGTTAAATGTCTTAATGTCAATTAAATGAGTAATAATTTTTTTAAAAGCCATAAAAATAAAAATGTATTATCTTAATGCAATAAGATAAAACTATTCAAGATATTTCACCCACCCCGACTTAAAATAAATAGAAAACATTACTTTATATTATCAATATTTTACTTTTTATAATGAACTTATTACAGCAAACAAACAATCCCATTTATAACAGAATGGAGGTACACTAGTCAAGCTGCACCCATTTTTTGCCTTGAATTGCTCACCAATGTCTTATGCATTGTCCTCTATCAGTCTATCAGTAAAATCTGATTCAATTACATCATTTAATTTAAACATTTATTTCCAGTAGCTCAGGAGTAAAACAAACAAAAAAAGTTACTTTAAATTATAAATTACGATCTCTTATAAAGGCATACACCCCAACTAGTGGTTTAACGGACCACCAATCTCACAGGTTCGGATCACATGGTGGTTTTTTGTCACTTTTTGGATCAGCCAAAAAGGGGGGGAGACAAATGTAATTTACTTTTCATTTACTACAAAAACAGTACTGCAAGACACTTTTGGTTTTAACAAACAGAACTTAGAACCTGTAATTTAATTGAAAATAAAATGAAGAAATAATCAGCTGAATAAAAATAAATAGTAAAATATTCAGTGTACTGTGAGAAATTCACTGTTAAAAGTGTTGCTGATCATGTTAATTGTAGAAGAAACATTATGTACAAATTTGTACAACTCATATTTATTTTTAGTCTAATTTTCAGCAAATGATTTTGCTACTCATAAAAATTCCTTTTTCATTGCTAGATCATTTTTGTACAATTATTCAGTGGCATATTTTTTGATGGCCACCTATTGGTAAAATATTGTAATTGCTGCCATTGTAATTGCATACATTTTTGAGCATTATGAAGATAAAATAAACATGCAAATCACCATCATTTATGATTTGTTGCGTGGGTGTTAAGATCTCAATCTTTTAATGATTAATCGTGCAGCTTACACTGAATGCATTAACGCATGCTAAACAAGTAGTAACAGAAATCACCTTTAATAACCTAAGAAACCAACCACACCCGGAATAACCTATCACAACTTTTTCCGTCATGAATTTATTTAACAATAAAGCCTAAATGCTATCATACATGTAATTTAAATGACGTGAGTGGTGATCTCTCTGTGATTGTTTGAAATTTAGGATTAATCTACAAGTAAAAATATGTATTAATCTGCGGGTCTCGTGTGTTCCGAACCATGCGTTGTAATCCATACGAATCACGGATTGACCGTGATCAATTACATCCCTAGCCGCAACCTTCCCGATCCTTCTCATATGAGGTGGTGAGCCAAATCACGAATACTATGGTCCAACTTTGGCCCGCGGGCCCAAGTTTGGACATCTGAGATAGACGGAGTATATTCAAAGCTAATTTTCAGCAAACTGTATGCAAAGAGCGATAAACCCACACAAAAATGACAGCAACATTTGTGAACGATATTGTGACTAAAATTACTTACTGTTGGTCAATGATGGAGAACACAACAGATTGTGCAATGACGAAGCAGTTTGGGTCCACCTGGCCGTCCTCCCCACAGATTTTTGCTAACACAAGGAAAAAAAGTGTCTAAAATATGCTTAAAACTCTAAACATGTTTAAAGTCTGCATGAACCAGAAGTTGCTAAGACTTTTAGTTCAGTATGCTGATGTACTTCCAACTGAAACTGAATATTGAGTAGGGGGCGTGGTTTTCTCATCATTCTCTCATAGCAAACTAACGGTAGGGATGGCTGACGTGAAACTGATGTTTCGACACAGTGTCGAGATCCCGAAGCGCAAGTGTTTCGAAACACTGCACCGAAGCATGATCCGAAGCACCCAGGTCACGTGAATAAAAAAGTGTTTCGAAACACCTAGTCACGTGACTAAAGCGATTCAAAGCATCGATCAGCTTAGAAGCGTTTCGAGACCTGACAGGTCTGCATTTGGCTGCCAAGGTCAAGAAAAAAACTCTGTCTCTTATGGCCTAAAGGACTATTTTAATCATGTTTCTGTTTTGTGTAGCCTAAATAGGATACAGCTGCAGTTACGCCATCAATTTAGGATCATTTTTGTAACACTGTAAAACGATAATAAATATTTTTACAGTATGGTTGGGTTCAGGGTTTGGGTAGACATTAATAAAATACCATAAATGGGAAATTTAACGAATAATATAAATAATTCATGATAACTTCAGGCCACTGTTTCTGATCTAGCAACAACCCTGTTTTAAGACCAAAACACGACATATTTATTCACAAATTGTTTATTCGGATATCAGACCAATGTTGAAACAAAACGATACAAGAGCAAAGCATTATCAACTGGTATTAAAGCATTTCAAAACAACTGATTCAGGCTGGCTTCGAACCTACTATCCCCGCATTGTAGTCTGACACCTAATCCACTGTACTAAATTTCTTGAAGGACCAAGTATACAAAGTGGGGTTTAATGCCTCAATTTGTTCAACTGTTCTTTGCTGAAGCTGTTTCAGTGCAATACATAAAAAAAGACCACTAGATGTCACTGTAGAGTGGAGTTTCAAAACGTTTCGAAGCTTCGACACATTTGCTTCGACTGTTTCAGTGTTTCACGAAGCCTCGCTTTACCCACCACCAACTAACGGTAAGACTTGTGGGGTTAAAAATATTGTGGCTGAAGCCATCAAACTGACGTCAACAGAAAAAAAAAATCGCCACTCCAAATACAGAAGCAAATGGTCAGACTTCAAATATCATCAAAAAAATAATTATTCAGTGGATTAACTTATCCAGATTAATTATTCACCTAAAGAATAACAGTGTGCATCAGCAAAATAAACATTGTAAATTTGGATTGTACACAGATTTGAAGTGCTCACATGCTAAAGAGCTTATTCCAGCCAATTGAAGATATGCCACAAGAATTTGTTACTAATTAAAATAAGGTCTTCAAAGACAGCAAGCTTCCAGCGGATGAATCTATAAAACCAAACCCCCATTTTCTAATCACCCAGTATCTCCTACAAACATAAGTATCTTGTCCAAACACAGAGAAGCACTCAATCAGCAGCCATTAAACACTGAGGTCACTGAGATAAGAAGTTCTCTTACCCACAATGTCGTTGCGTATCTGTTCGGTGATGGGAATTGGTCTAGCAGCATCAGGAGATATGTACTTAGTGAAAATGTTAACGGCATCTCTCTCTATACCTACAAAACAATGATAAAAAACAATAATTGGAAAAAATGCATATATAAAGTCAATGAAATCGGATGCAGAAGAAAAAAAGTTGAAGGACATTTCACACTCTTCTCACAGCAAACATCCTCTTCACAGACTTTTAATTCACATTTCAGTTACAGCTATTCATCAAAGCGCCGTGTGTGCTTAAGTGTCACTATTAATCAAACAAATGACTCGGACACTTCGAGCAAAGGCCCAGGGACAAATCTAATGTCTACAGCTTGTTAAACATTAATATCAAACTCAAATACAGGATGGACATATTTCACCATGAAGACCATGTCAGAGTGCTTGTCAGAGACTTACTTTTTATATTAGACAGTATTATATATGTTCATGTATGTATTGAATTTCAGCATTGTGCATATATGCACGCAGCACACACATACACACAAATATTTGTGCATTGAAAGCTTCCAAAGCACAAAACTGTTCAAATTAATTTATAGTGGAACAAGGTTTTTAAAAGGAACACCTAATGGAAATAGGCTCATTTTACAAGTTGATCTTTGGGTCGAGCATTTAGCATAGGGTCGAGACTATTAGCATAGGATTTTGTTAATTTTCCTATTTAAAGCGTGTCTCTTCATAGGGTTTCTTTACAGCATCGATAATTTAGTTAAAATATAATCAGTTAAATAAACGCTAGCATTTATGTACTTGTACAAGTGTAAAACGAAATGCCGTTTAAATGCAAGCGTCGTCAGGAGCAATAGATGAGGTAAAACTGTGGTAAAATAAATGTTTATATTTTAATAAACGTATATAAACAATAAAAATATGCTTCCTTTGTTTTCATTCTCCTGCTCGTGTACGTGCTAGTGACCAATAGCATTCAACTGCACATCTAGCTCCGCTTTTTGGTACCCTTTTGTTATGCTAGGTACCATTTCAAAAGGGTACCCAAAGAGTAGTACGGTACGGTTCACTTTTTGGTATTTTTTCACAGTGGAAAGGGTCATAAAAGCGTACCGAACCGTACCGTACCACTCAGTGAAAACGGGCCTTAAGAGGTATCAATAATCCTGGACCAGATCGAATCCTGAGTGGATGCTATGGGGGTCATGGAGAAGAGGAGAGCATGGGACTATCCTAAAAGACCCGGTGACAAACGAGTCTACGCATTCATCCCTTGGGTCAGTCTAAACACCTGCAGCTTCTCCATGATGGACGTCCAACGTTCTCCAGCCTCCGGCGCCTAGACTGCAGCTCTGCACAAGAAGTTTGGCCAGATAAAAAAATAGTCTTGCCCAACTGAGCCTGGTTTCTCTCTAGGTTTTTTCCTTCACTTTCGTCAATTGGTAAAGTTTTGTTCCTCGCCCCTGGCTTGCATGGTTTGGGACCTATGAAGCTGTGCATTGATGGATTTGCTCTTCAGTGTTTGGACTTGAACTGAACTTCAACTCTAAAAAACTGGACTGACACGCTTTCAATTTACTAGAACTTTCATGTTAAGCTGCTTTGATACAATTTACATTGTAAAAGCGCTATAGAAATAAACATAAATTAAATTTAATAAAAAAATTTCATGGGTACTGACAAAACTATAGAACAATGTTACATTTTTATTTACTGAAATGTTGTCTAAATAATATCACATCAGAGGCTATTTCAGGGCAAATACAGATGGAACGACTGCTGATCAGCCATTAGAAGCAAGACTGATGTTAACAGTGTTTGAGTTTAATGGGGGTCTATGAGATGAGGAATCTCATCAGAGCATGTTTTAAATGTTGAAGCACTTTTCATAAAATCCATCTGAGGTGCTCTGAAAACCTAGCACCAGCCTTATAAAACGCAGTGAAGTGGACAAAGACTTGTTCCCTTTTAAGACAGCGAAGGCTCTCGGCAGAGAAGCCATGGGCTGATAGGATCTGACTCTCCTTCTAAGCTGATTTGATGTCTTTCGGCTCAACTGGCTTTTTCCATTCACTGCTTTTACAGCCTGGAGCTTCTTTGTATTAGCCATTAATGAACACTCAACTCCTGACTTCTGCTCATTTTGCACCACTGCCAAGATGCTAAATGGGATCATTTACCAAGCCTGCGCTATAAAACCAATGCCGTATGGATATTAAAAGTCATCGTCCGATACAAAAGGAATATGTTGTAATGGTAAAAGGCCACTAAGCATGGAAAAACCCATTGGAGTTAAGTACAGAATTACAGATATTAGGGTTTCTCTGTTGAAAGTGATGATTAAAATGCAGGCTAGGGGAAAATTACTAATGTGCTGCAAACTGTAAAGCTTAAATACTGTGTTTTTATATTCAGCTAAGACGTTATTTAAATGTCAGAGTTATCAAACTGCATTTTTTACGTAATTTAAAAAAATATTTGTTTACTTACCACTAGGAAAACTCCTACCTGTCAACCCTCCCGTTTTTCCCGGGATTCTCCCGTATTTTACTGTTCTATCCAGCTATCATCCAGTAAAGGTATTTTCCCGTATTTATCCCATATTTTCGGTCTTTCTCTAAACAGCTGAGCCTCCCTATACGCAACCCATACCGCCGAACCACCAGGGGTTGCCCCATGCTTTAAAACGTGAGTCTTCTGTGCTTTCGCTTTGTTTAGGAATGAAAACACTTTTAAATAAATACTAAAAATGGCGCGATTCCATTTCCTTTTGATTGGAGGTGCCGTCGCCAATCCTATACAATCCTCAAAACAGTCATATAATGGTGCATGACTGTCAGCTGACGTGCTCCATAGTGATAAACAGATGCTGTTTCCCAAACAGATTCTGTACATGCGATTTGAAGCGGAGAGAAAAAAGTCTGGCTTTTGGGTGCGTGTTTAAACAGACATACACACATAATTAATAATAATAATAACATATAAGGATGTCGATCTTGGCCTTAAATAAGCATAAAATGTAGGGAAAGCAGGCGAATGCTTTCATTATAACGTTAGATGTGTGCATTTTTAAAGTGACACCTGTTATTCAATGTAATAAAAAAAAACTTAATAAATGAGAGATTCCTTCGTTGTTCTTTAATCAGAATGTATAAGTTATACAGTGGAGAAATGGCTAATGAGATTTAATAGTTTGACTCTATGTCATTATAATAGCTATTAATTTTAATAAGCTGAACTGTTTGCTAATGTATTTGCTGCTAATCTATATATTTATTTCTCTTTTGTTAATAATTTTAAAACATATTACATGACTATTTAACTGTTTATTTACAATGAAACATTGAACATATGAATGAACATATTTAGTAATTTGGGGATTTTATTTGGGGGGGGGGGGGGGGGGGTTGTTGGGGAAATCCCTTATTATGGTGGGCATATCCCTTATTTTCACATCCCAATGTTGACAGGTATGCTGATCATAGATATATGTATATATGTGAATATACGACAGGCTCTCAATGGCCAGTCCTCCACATTCATTTCAAAGGAGCCCTACCCTGTACTAAAATGGCTGTTCTATTGACGCATTTCTAGCGTACGTGACATCTAATGTAAATATCTGTGGGTGGAAGTGATAAACTCCAAGTTTTAGATGATTATATCAGGTTTATGTTTTCTAAACACAGATTTTGTCACTGTTTTGAAACGCACTAGCATATAAATTTCCCCAGAACTAACAGACCTAAAATGTTTCATTTTAATTTCACGAGATCTTAAAATACAATATTAAAGCACAGAATATATATATCGCGCAGCAACCATCCTCAGTGGAAAGTTAATGAGGTTGTCAAAAATGATACTCACTCTTCATAAGTTTGTCGGAGAGCTCACGAAGGCCTTTGACTGGTGTGCCCGTCCTGGACGAGGTCTGTCTGGTGGGTGTTTCTGATCGGAGCGCAGGCTGCAATTGAAGAGTCCCGGGCTGAGCCGTCCCATCAAAGCTAACAGAGTCTCTGTGGCTCATCAGAGCCCCACTGTGAGAGTTAGTGTCCTGGGGACTGGGGGTGTGTGGTCTGGAGGACGTCCTAGAGGAGAAAGCATCCTCTTCATCTCCCTCATCCAGATTTAAAGGTCTGCTGGAGTGGTTTGGGGAGTCAGGCGAGTCTGGTGATCCCAGGGCAGCTGCGGGCTCAGCCAAGGTGCTGTGTTTGACTGAGTTGAGGCTGTGCGCCCTAACCCGCGACCAGCTGGTGGAGCGAAAGCTTTCGGCCTCGAGCCAGAAGCGGACCAGGTGCTCGGCTGAGCGCGTCTCCATGAACTGAATGAAATAGGGCAGGGCCACATTGTCCCGCAAGATCTGGTCTACAGTTTTGGAAAGCCGAGATCGAGTCTCTTGAATCTGATAGTTGACACTTGAGCGACCTGAAAAAAAAGGACACATTTTAAAACCGGTGCTTAAGACTTATTCATCAATTCAGAGATAACAAACTTGAAGGGCTTTTCTACTGCATGACATGGTCCGGTTTGGTAGGATTCCCACTATGTTACTATGTAACTAGTATTTAACTTGGTGCTTTGTTAGTACCACCGTAGGTGTGGTTTTAAGCGAGCCGTACCATTACCAAAATGTGACACTATACACACTGCTGATGACCGATTGGTCGGAGAAAATGGTCACAACCAACGTGATTACGTTTGCGACATGATACACGAATCCTGACATATTTAAACAGTCAACTGCAGTCACTGCTGTGCTTTTGGATCGCACTGTATAGCTGGTTTAATGCTACTTGAAGAAAAAGCTGCCTGAAATGGTAGCATTATGTTACAAAAAAAGGTTCAGACATTCCCCTTGTTAGTTGTAGATATGGAATGATAACCAGTTACTAGGTTTACCAGGGTTTGGAAATGTCAAGGTTTTAAAATCACAAAAATGTTCTGTTATACAGTTTCTACGATATACTGTGTGTAATATTATTTCACATATTTTAACTAATCTTTTTACACCTGAAAACCAACATCCTATATACAGTAGATATGTCTGAACAGTGCAGTGGCTTACTTTATATCCAAAGAAAAGAAAGATGCCTTTTCATGTTGTAAATAAATCTGTGTTTTTGACACTAATGAAGATAGCAGACGTTTCAATTATTTAGCCTCCAAATATTTAGTTCCAAAATATGTCAAATGTAAGTTAAAATAAAATATTTTGCATTCACACAACAAAAATTTTAGTTTTTTACAGACAGCTAAAAAAAACATATTTTAGAGCAGTAATCACAATACCGTGATATTTTTATCCAAGATTATCATACTGTCAGAATCTTATATTCGACCCATACTTAGTTGCAGGACGAATGGGAATGGGATGAAGGAAAAAAAAAAAAAAACGTTTTCAGTAAGTCATGGAAGTAGAGGTGGCACAACTATAGTGATAACGACACACTTAAAGCAGTACTAAACAGTAATGGAGATGCAATCTGAGACAAGCAAAATAAAATCAAAGTGAGCCAAGCCAATGACGAATTTTACAGAACCGTAGCATGCAGTGGAAAAGCAGTTTCAAAGAAGCAACAACCAGATAAGGTTTGGACTGGTAGCAAATAGCTGCCTTATTTATGTAGTGCAAAATGTACTCAAAAACTGAAACCAAAACAGAAGCCAATAAATATAACAATAATAAAAATATATAAAAATATATAAAATAAATCTCATAATATACACAAAACACTATGAAAAAAATATTAAGTTCATAGCATAAAATAACATGAATTCTAAAAACAAACATCTAATAAAGTCAAAACACAAAACATTAACAAAATATACGAAACAAAATAAAGTAAAATAAACTATTAATAAAAACAAGTTAAAAACAAAACATAAACAAAAAATACCTTTAAAATAAAAAGATGCCTAAAATGGCAGCATCATATTCAGTAAAAGAGGTCCAGACATTCCTCCTCTTAGTCGCAGGATGGATGGGGGTTACAGTAAATCATTGTAGTAGAGGCGGCACAACTATAGTGATAACCCCACACAGTACTAAACTGCAATAAAGATGCAAACCAAAGCGCACCAAGCCAATAACAAACTGTACCGTACCATATCATGCAGTGGAAAAGCACTTTTGAAGAAGCAAAAACCAGACAAGGCTTGGACTTTGTAGCAAACAGCTGCCATATTTGTGTAGTGCAAAATGTACTCATAAAAACTGAAACCAAAACAGAACCCAATGAAAATAACAATAGAACATAAAAAATTTAATATAAAACTAAAAATAAGAAAATATCAAGTATAAAAAAAAATGATAACCAAAATACACTCAAAACACCATGAAAAATGAAAAAAAAAAATTCAGTTCATAACATAATCAGAATGCTAAATTCAAGTCAAAACATAAAACATTAACAAAATAAGCAAAACTAAATAAAAAACACTACCTATAAAAACAAGTTTAAAACAAAACATAAACAAAAAATACCATAAAATCAAATAAAAAGAACAAGCAAAACAAAAGAAAAAAATCCCAATAAAAACAAGTTAAAAACAAAAAATACCTTAAAATAAAAAACAAAACAAAATTAAATAACACTACCAGCAACCAGCATGTTAAAGACAACAAGTTAAAAACAAAACACAAACAAAAAATAAAATAAATAAATAGTATATAAAAAACAAAATAAAAACACTACCAATAAAAACAACACACAAAAAACTAAAGAACAAGCAAAACAAGATAAAAGATGAAAAAACACTACCTATAGAAACTATTTAAAAACAAAAACAAAAAAAAATGTAAATAACAAATAAACAAGCAAAACAAAAGAAAGTAAAAAACACTACTATTAAAAACAAAACATAATCAAACCCAGACCCCCCAAAAGAACAAATTATTAAAATAACCAAACACACAACACTGAACAAAACATAACACAATAAATTCCCAATAACAAAACGCACATTAAAAGGTTAAAAATAATAAATAATTAAATACAACACATAAATAAATATAATAAACAATAATATAACAACAGTCTAACGAACATAAATAATCATAATATTCAAAACTTGGCCTGGCATAAAATATCAACACTACAATAGCTAAACAAACACATTCTGTACAAGTGAACACCATTGATGCCTCGAATTCAGACTTGTGGCATCTCCAGATCACACCCAGCCATCTATTTCTAATACACAGCAGCAGCGCAAACTCTGTTCCATAAATCAACAAACAAAACAAATCTTTTAATAGAGCCGGGACCTCCTTTGAATGTGTCGAAAGAAAGGCCACACCCTCCTCTTTCAAAACCAGAAGATTGGGTTTAACATACATTTAACTAGGAGGTGAACTATCCAGTAACACAACGCAAAAGAGCCGGTAAAATACTATCCATCTTTATGTAGGTGTTAAAATATGACGTTAAAGGCATTGTGCTTGTTAAAGTCACCTCGCAACACTGGTTTGTCAACAAATACGTTTCAATGTTGCTTTTCTTTACATGTAAAAGAGGAGTCATTGTAACTCAGACAAGACCTTCTGTGCTAGATGATAATGCTGAAGATGACATTTACAGTATGAGGATTAAACATAGTAACATTTATATTTAACCAATTTAAACAATGGTTGCAAGAATTGTCTCATCTTTTGGCTTAAAAATATTCATATATAAAGTTTTTCAAAATATGGAATCCCTTTGTAGGATTTCTGAAGAAAGCTGATATGAATATTTGGTCTATATAGCTGTAACTTGTATCACCTGTTACTATTATACCATTGTTTGCTTTATATTGTATTTGTATGTTTCCAAGTGATTAGTTGCAGCTGAAAGGGTCTCCGCTGCGTAAAACATATGCTGGATGAGTTAATAGTTCATTCTGCTGTGGTGACCCCAGATTAATAAAGGGACTAAGCTGAAAAGAAAATGAATGAATGAATGTATGTGTATGTACAGTGCATCCAGAAAGTATTCATTAGAGCTGCACAATTAATCGTTAAAAGATTGCGATCTCGATTCGACCCCCTAAACAATCTTAATCCAGCATTTCTACGATTCTGCCAATCATATTTTCAAATTCAGGAGAGAAGAAAAGGCGAGTCTTTTCATTGTTTCACAAACGTTGCTCAGTGACACGGACACCTCCAAATGATGTTGAATGAGTCACATACTGTATTTATAAGGTAAAATTCACCTAAAAATGTCATTTTTTGTCTTCATATAATGATGTTTTGGCGATCGGGAAATCACACGTGACGTGAGCTGTTATCACAGAAAGGGCGCGCGCGCTCTACTTAATGATAGATGCTCGCGCGCCTACTTTAGTGAACAGAACCTGCATATGTTGTGAGTAACAGGTAATACAGTTGTAAATAATATTCAGTTTGTGGCACAGAGTGATCGTTTGGGAGCCGTGTGCGAAGTATGAACAAGCACTTACCAGTCAAAACGAAACCGAAAGTGTGCACTTCATTTAAATAATCATATCGCATATTAGAGTTATGATTACGACAAGCATTTGATTTGTTATTTCTTTTATAGCGAACCCACAGTTGTGCATAAAAATAAATGTTTACAATGTCAGTGTAACTACTCTAGCCTATATATTGTTGAATATAATCTGATAATGGCAAATGTCTGATTTTACCAGTGAATAAAACAGTCTAATATGACAGATTGCAAGCATATATCTCAAACATAATAATTCAACATCAGAATTATTATAAGTAGAATAGAATTATTTATAGAAACCAGTAGACCTACACATAATATTATTATCGAGGTTGTGCCATATGTTTGTTTTTACCATACCTTTATTTCACATATACAGAATCGTGAGAAGATCGTGATCTTAATTTTAAGCAAAAAAACAAAAACAAAAAAATAATCGCGATTCTCATTTTAGCCAAAATCGTGCAGCTCTAGTATTCATAATGCTTCAGTTTTTCCACATTTTTATGTTACAGCCTTATTATATATATAATAACCAATAATGACAATGTGAAAAAAGATTTTCTGAAATTGTTGCAAATTTATTTAAAAAAAAAAAACCTGAAAAATCACATGTAAAGAAGTATTTAATAATGCTCAATACTTCGTTGATGCGCCTTTGACAGCAATTACAGCCTCAAGTCTTTTTTGAATATGATGCCACGAGCTTGGCACACCTGTCTTTGGTAATTTTTGCCCATTCCTCTTTGCAGCACCTCTCAAGCTCTATCAGGTTGGATGGGAAGCGACAGCGTACAGTCATTTTCAGATCTCTCCAGAGATGTTCAATAGGATTAGGTCTGGGCTCTAGCTGCGCCAAGCTATTAATGAGATTTAAACATTTCCATCCATATCTTTTTTTTTTTACCAAACTACTTTTTTGTCAGCTATATAAAAATCAACAAAATAAAACGATACAGACATAAAGATAGAGAAGATTGTGTCCAACGTCCATCCCTCACAGTATTACATTCATGTGACTCTGATTTTATTTTTTTAGTTTACAAACAATGTCTAGCAACTTAGTCAAATTATGTATATTTATTATTTCATCTGATTAATTATTGCAGATAAACAGATTCAGAGTTGTTTTTTATCTTCCTGAAAAACAGACCAGGAAACATTCACAACATATAATAACCTTTTTACCGGGTGGATTTGTTATAGTCAAATACTTGTGTTAGACATTCATAAAAGAGGCACTTGTAAAAGTAACAGACAAACGCACAAGGACATTTTCACAGTGGCATTTAAAATAGGGTTAAAGTTTGCCTTTGCACCAACCACAGAGCTGTAAAAGGTTAAGAGATTACAGCTCTCCACATACAAATCCAGCAGGCCAGTGCGATGCAAAAGCCATTTCAGTAACTCTCTTAACACTCCTGGCAGCTTCACAAAATCCCCTCTCTAATGTGATAATTCCTGCACCGTGGGCCACGGACACACACGTCACATAGAGTATTAAATGCTCAGCACAACACTGTACAGGGTGAAGTTGGGTCAAAATGCATTTCAGAGAGAGAAGAAAAAAGAACAGATAAAAAGTCTACTTGCCCAATAACTCTACATTATTTTTTTAACCAAAAAAAAAAAAAAACATTTTCCACATTCAAACAAAAAAATTAACAAGTTTTGAAAACAGACGGGTTACAGTAAAAGTTTAGGATTAAATAATAATTAGGGGTGGGGATGTCAGGTGATCGGAAATCGGGCCCGATCACACGGTTTCAGACTTGATCGGAATTGGACGTTACCTCTCGATCAGGACTCAAATATAAACATATGACGCTATTGGTTAAATACCAGCAAAGTAGAACATGTAAGCAGCTGGAAGCGGAAAAGCACGAGTATGTCTGCGGTCTGGAGGTATTATAAAGTTGATGACGACAACATTGCCATGGCAAACCGTGAGATATGTAAACTTGGGATTGCCAGCTGGGTATTTTAAGTTGAGCTGCTACTTGTTTTTATATTAGATTTTTTTTATACATTTACTGTTGCAATAAAGTCCAAAAATGAAGAATTGATGTTATTTATTACTTGATTGATATCAACAATTCAATTTTTGATATCAGCAATTACATTTATGAAATCAAGAACTGAATCGTTGATATCAAGAATACATATCCTGAGAATGCATAAAAGTCAAAACGGCTTGCCATTCTACCCCTTCTTTCAAATTGGTCAAATTGGGTGCATTTCCGTTGAATTGTTAGACCAGCTGACTGTAGTATTTGAAACCATCATTTGGGAAATATCTTTAAAAAAAAATTTAGAGGAGGGCGGATCCTTTTGACTTCAACTGTATAGATTGCAGAAAAACTAAATTATGCTAAACAAAAAAATCCTTATTCATGCTCCAAAAATAAGCATTAGGAATAATCCACATCAGGTGTACCTAAGTCTCCAAAGTGTGCTGCCTCCATGTGGCTGGGCTGTTTTTTGAGGATAGCAGTGCGGCCGCGGGCAAAGGAGTCCATGTTTGCCGAGATAGCACTGATGGCCACATGGCTGGGTCCTGCCGCCTCCAGGATAGCATGATGATTCCGGCCACTAAGTGAGGGGGAATGGGGCGACACTGGGGCTGGAGAGACATAGACAGAAGAAAAACATCAATACAAAGCAGAATTCTAGATTTTACGTCTCAGGGATGCAAACGGGTATGGAGTAAAAAATGACCAGCACATGAATGTTTGGGAATATTTTAAGATGTCATGCTCATTTCTAGTTACTTTAAGGGTTCTTTCATGTCTGTGGTTCGGTTTATTTGGCCCGGACCAAGGGCAACAAATGATAGATACATTGTAGCATTTTCTGTAGTTTTTAGGTCATTTTCACACTACACCGATTGCTTTGGTCTGAACCAATTGAAAAGAACCAAAATGCAGTCATGTGACAAAATGCCAGATGTTATTGGATGCATTTCCTAAACTGCTTTTTGAATGGTCAGAATTAACGTGTGGGGAAAATACCAATGAAACTCCCGCAAGTAAACAAACCGGCAGACACAAAATGTCACTTTTGACTATGGAGGGACGACTGCTCTGGCTGATTGTATCCCAGTTGTCATAATATCCTATACAGTTTGTATACATCACTTTAGAGAAACTATACATTTCAAGAATGAAGCGCGATAAAACAATGATTTAATGCATTGCAAAGGGCAAATGCACATCGCAAGTCACTTCAGGAAGAGGCGTCATTTAATTTATGCTAAACAGTAACATGGTCAACTTTCATAAATATTACCAACAATCCATCAGGTAATGTTTTTCCCTCTCTTTGTCTGTTTAAAATTGTAAATAGAGCGCTGTCAACAAATATTTTACCTCCACACCACATAAGATAGGACAGCGTCTCCAAATTAGTCCAAAAAGGCACGGTACTTTTTGTGGTTGGGTCTGTTATAGTTCAGATCATGTTCTCACCACAATCAAACCGCTTAAGGGTTCGTTTGAAAGTGTACGGAGATGGTGAAATAAGTTTTATGTAGGGCAAAACAACCCTAAACTAAAAGTCAAAAATGTGTTTATTATTATTGATTGATTATTATTACTGAATAAATAAATGTAGAAGCTGCATACATCAACAGTCCAAAAAACTGTCATGGTGACCTATAAAATGATTCATTTTATTTTTGTATTGTGTTTTTTATTATCTTATACGTCCAAACATTTTACCAAAATTTAAACAAATACATCTATAAAAGGTGGTGATATGCTAAGACTATTTAAAGGGGTCCTATTATGTCCCTTTTTACAAGAGGTAATATAAGTCTCTGATGTCCTTACAGTGTGTACGTAAAGTTTCAGCTCAAAAAACCCCACAAATAAGGTTTTATAAAACTTTGAAACTGCCCCTTTTAGGCTTTGATTCAAATTGTGCCGTTTTGGTGACTGTTGCTTTAAATTCAAGTGAGATTGTGCTCTTGGCCATAGGGCGGAGCTACAAATGCCTGTGCCTCAGTGAGATCATTACTAATGGACAGGGCTTTCCACCTCTGATGACATGTACAAAGGGAGAAAGTATGATTATATAAAATGGAGTTCATTCATTTTTATCATCAGAGGCTTGTTAGATTCACACACCGCTGCCACACAACTGTGTATAAAAGTGATTTTTGCATAACAGATCCCCTTTTTTGCACGCAATTTTGGCTAATAATACATCTGTCAAGATTTAATTCCACAAGAACCACCGACAGGATGTGCATTATCCCTAACTTAGGAGAGACTTTCCAAAATCTCAAATTATCTTTTAATATTAGGTTTAATTTTAAACAGAACATGTTTTGTGCATTTGAAAAGAAAACAAAAGACTTCACAGTCTAAAGATAGATGCATTTTATCAGATTCTTTTAACTTGCACACCTTTCTTTCAGAATGGTCTATCAATGTTGGTCAAGACAGTTTAAAAAAAGAAAGGCATGAGCTTGACATCCATGCAATATTAGTTAAACACAGAAACACATTAGGTGAATGGTCCTTCAGTCTCTCAAATTTGGTGACACTACATGTCAAAGTCACAAATCTGACATAAAAGAGGACTATCGTGGAAATAACTTAAGCTGCAAATGCAAAACATGAATTGTGACGTGTGGGTTTAGCACTAGACACTTACCTTTGCTGGCTTTAGCATCTGCTGGTCTCTCAGGTTCCTTTCCTTTAGCTGTTAAATAAAGAACAAAGCAAATATTACTTACATTTATTTATTTATTGTCAGGATTATGAAATTTGGCTGATGAATAATTGCTTAAGGATTAACAGTAATTAATTGTCTTTTTATGATTATATGCCATGTTGGTGGCCATACAGAATTCTAATTGTTATTGTTAACATTGTTGTTATGCAAATGGTTGAAAACGAATACGTTGTTAGTCATTTTTGTCATATTTTGACATTTTTTGTATATCAGACTGTGAGATCCAAACATAACTTTGTATGATAAAAATACGACTTACATGAATTGTCAATGCCTACATTTAATGTCAATACAGTGGCTTTGTCATGATTTGTGTGCACTACGCTATTTAAATAAAACATTACAAAATATTGTGATTGACTTTTTTGTAAATTGGCCTTAAAATATTAAAGTGATTATGACAATAATAACACATTTGCACACATGTAACAAACACACGTTTCTGCAATCAGTAGTAAATATCCAGCATGCGCTTTCAGATGGAGCAGCATGTAACAGCACAAAATAAATCATAAACTAATTATTTGTGTGATAAAGAAACTGAAGAAATAGTTGTTTAGGTGTAGTCATGTAGTGAACTGAATGCTGACCCCAGAGAGTTGTGCAGTGTGAAAACAACTGTAATACGACAATTTGAACTTGCCATAAATTGCACGATTATTACATGTTGCATCATTTGTCATTGCTGGTGTTTGATTTAAACTACATTGTAAAAAACAATTAGTTGACTTTAAATAAGCGAGTAAACCCATTGCCTTAAATTAAGTAAATTAACTATGTTCATAATTTTAAAAAAATTAAGTAAACTCAATAGTTCTAAGCTATAACAGGTTTACTCACTTTCTTATGGTAAAGTCGACTTGTCGACAGAACCCAGCTGGGAAAAAAGGAAAGCTGTAAACTCTCTCTTTCTCTCTGCTAGATTGTTCGTGATGTAACGTTTTATCTCCTCTCTTGGCTGTTGTTAGCAATAAAAATAATGCTTCTTGTGGATCCAGACACGAGCATGTCTGCAAAGCTCTCTCTCGCTACTGGGATCAGCTGATCACTGTGGCCGTTTAACATCAGTGTACATGTCACTATTTGCTAAACAGCCACGCTGACTGGCTCAACAATGCTCAAAGCAGGCAGTATAATATCGACATTTGTTACAAATGTTTATGTTGTTCTGTGTATTTTCATTTTGTTTGATTATTTTGTTGCCAAGTGAAATATCAAATATACGTCAAAGATATCGAATTGAAGCGAATCAAATGGCATAAACCGAACCGTGAGACCAGTGTAGGTTCAAACCCCTTCTTTTTATAGTGTAGTTTCATTTAACCTGTTGGTAGAGAGATGCCAAACAATTTAAACAGTCTGTCTCAAACCAGCACAGTGCTTTTGCAAATTTGAAAGTGAAAGTAAAAGTCACGCATCCAAAAAAGTGCCTATGTACTTTAATTTACGTCTCCCTCTTGTGCCTTTTAGGGCGTACTCACACTATGTACAGTTGCCTTGAACGCTTGTTGCCTCACGCTTGTCTCACCCTACGGCGCGCGCTCACATTGCATTTGGGCCTGGGCACGCTTACGTCATTGATGATGTGCTGTTCTGTTTAAGAAGCGCTCTTGCTCAGCACAGTGGAGATTTCTTTATATCGTTATATAATTTTAGTCGTTTGGGATGCGGTGACATGAAGTCAAATATACCGCCGAACATATCAAACACTTTTGACGCTTATAAACAACCATAAAGTCCTCGTGCTGCAGGTATTAGGAGATTTGCTAAAGGTGTAGCTGTCGTGCAGTGAGAGGTTTGCATCTTTAATAATCTACGATAGTTTGCGTTCATTAAACAGTAAGAATGATTAATAAATCCATACGAAACCGAGCCCAAGTGAACCATGCTGGCACACCTCTTCCAACCGGGCCAGAGCCGGCCAACTGAACCGCGCCGAGCGCTCACACTTCTCAAACGATTTGGGAAACGGGCCTGGGCATGGTTCGGATAGCATAGTGTGAGTACGCTCTTAAAGTAACTGCAGAAATTACGCTCATCTGAAACAACCAGTTTTAAGATTAAACATCCACGATTTAAAATAAAAAAAGACATTTAAATTACATTTACATTAGATTTCTATATTTGTCTCATCAAATAAAGGAATGAGGCAGTAGTACTGATTCACACTTTGCCTATTTTTTGAGTCTTTGCACTTTATGTTTGTGAATTTGCATGGGGTGAGGCTGCAAATCTGTCAACAAAAAGCACTGCTGGCAGACAAACCTGCATCACGGAAAACAAAATGACAAGCTTTTCCATGAAACCAGTTATTATTTGTGAAGAATGCAAGCAAAGACAGGAGAGGATGGTTGCTGATACTATGTGCAGCGTGTCTTACATCATTTTAAGCATTTCATAATCCACTGCTGCGCTCATAACATACATTTAACTTGTGTGTCTCTCTGGTGGATGAAAAAAGAGAGAGAATAATAAGGACTGGACTATATAACAAAGAGAAAAGGAGGTTCCTGTTAAATAGGGCATGGGCTAAGAGGGCATCCTTCCTTCCCTTAGGGCAGCCACACTGATTAACGCTCACAGACTGAAGTCACAGGATACATGTGTACGCTCTTTATCATGTGAACAGAGATACTAGGAAATAATAGTTGCTTTATGTAGAACCAAACTACAGATTCATTTGATGGTTTATTATGCATGACAAACTAAAGACTACTATTTGTTTTGATCAATTATTTCTTGTTATTTTTCCAGTTGACTTATTACCAGAATTTTTATTTTTACTATTTTCTTCCATGCCTGGTAAACACTACTTTAAACATTTCCAGGTTTTCCATGACCATATAAAAATTTTAATAAACAATATCTGTTGGAAAGAAAAGGAGGATAGACATTCATTAAATAAGGCAAATTATTATTTTTTTAAGTATCTTGTCACGACCTGTGTTCTATAGACCTATTCAGTCCACTTAAAATTATATAAATACACTCACTGGCCACTTTAATAGGTACACCTGTCCATCTGCTTGTTAAAGCAAATTTCTAATCAGCCAATCAAATGGCAGCAACTCGATGCATTTGGGCATGTAGACATGGTCAAGACGATCTGCTGAAGTTTGAACCGAGCATCAGAATGAGGAAGAAAGGGGATTTAAGTGACTTTGAGCATGGCATGATTGTTGGTGCCAGACGGGCTGGTTTGAGTATTTCAGAAACTGCTGATCTACCTGGATTTTCACGCACAACCATCTCCAGGGTTTAAAGTGAATTGTCAGGAAAAAGAGAAAATATCCAGTGAGCGGCAGTTTTGTGGGCGCATATGCCTTGTTGATGACAGAGGTCAGAGGAGAATGGCCAGACGGTTCGAGCAGATAGAAAGGCGACAGTAGCTCAATAACCACTCGTTGCAACTGAGGTTTGCAGAAGAGCATCTCTGAACACAAAACACGCCCAACCTTGAGGTGGATGGGCTACAGCAGCAAAAGACCACACCGTGTGCCACTCCTGTCAGCTAAGAACAGGATACTGAGGCTGAAATTAGCACAGTCTCACCAAAATTGGGCAATAGTAGATTGGAAAAACGTTGCCTGGTCTCTGCTGCAACATTCGGATGGTAGGGTCAGAATTTGGCATCAACAACATGAAAGCATGGATCCATCCTGCCTTGTATCAACGATCCAGGCTGCTGGTAGTGGTGTAATGGTGAGGGGGATATTTTCTTGGGACACTTTGGGACCATAAGTACCAATTAAGCATTGTGTCAACACCACAGCCTACCCGAGTATTGTTGCTGACCATATCCATCCCTTTAGGACCAAAGTGTACCCATCTTCTGATGGGTACTTCCAGCAGGATAACTCGTGATAAAGCTTAAAAATTCTCATCCTTGTTTTTTGAACATGACAATGAGTTCACTGTACTCAAATGACCTCCACAGTCACCAGATCTCAATCCAATAGAGCACCTTTGGGATGTGTTGGATTGGGAGTTTCGCATCACGAATGTGCAGCCGACAAATCTGCAGCAACTGTGTGATGCCATCATGCCAATATAGACAAAAATCTCTCAGGAATATTTCCAGTATCTTGTTGAATCTATGCCACGGAGGATTAAGGCGGTTTTAAAGGCAAAAGGTGGTCCAACCTGGAACTAGTTATGTGTACCTAATAAAGTGGCCAGTGAGTTAGATATTATTTAACTTTACTTCACTGTATATATTATTATACTATAGGAGTTCATTGAATAAATAAATTTTGAGCAATGATGTGAAAAGACTGAAAACACTGCATATGAAGCTATTTCATAACTATGCTTACCTCTGTTAAATTTATGTCATTTAGAAATAAGGTCATGTCAGTTTTGGAATATGGCTTGGATATATTATGAATTAATGATGCAGCACAAAATTTGTTACATTAATGCAAACTTATCCTAATAAACAAAATCTGATTTTTTATTTACATTTAGTTTTATTCCAGCAGAGGTATCAAAAAGTAAGTGTCTTTAAATATCAGCCTCTGAGTATTGTCTTGACAATGGGATGACTTGATAATCCAGTTCGTTCATACCATGAAAGATCGAAAATGTGAAAGACACTCCTTGTAAAACAAAAATACATCCAGGAATGTTATTCTATAACCAATTCTAAAGGGATCAATCTAGGCATGGGGCGATAACCGATTTCAAGGTTTACCGTGGTTTGGAAAAGCTGTTTAAAAACGCTAAAACTTTGCTATATTGCTATGGTATTTACATTTTTTTACATGTTGTCAAATACTTTTTTTAGTGTAACACTATCTCCAGCTGAAACTAAACATCCACATCAACGATTAAGCCCACGATTCAGAAAACATTGAAAAACAATTGATAATTAATTGGGTAAGAAAATGTGTTTAATATTTCTCCTAAAATGTGCATTTCATTTTCACAATTAAGATATCTTAAAGGAATAGTTCACGCAAAAATGAAAATGTTTGAAAATGACATTCCTTTTTATAAAATGTGTTTTTTCTGTCAGCGGACAAATAGATCTGTAATAAATAGATGCATAATAACATTTATGTTAGTTATAGTTCTTTGAAAAAAAAAATCATAATGTGAAATTTAACTAAAGCCGTTAAAGTTAACAAATTTAACATTGAACAGGAGTTAAAATTGTTAAATTAGGAAAAGAAAATCACTTACAAACAAACATGCAAGCATGCTATAGACCTCAACAGTCAGTGTCGGCCCATGCAAACAGGCAATATAGGCGGTCACCTAGGGCCTCGCGTTTCTTTGAGGGCCCCACGAAAGCTACTCTTGTATATTTGCACAAACCCCATTGAACACAAAACATCAACGGTGAGAAAAATATAACGTCTAAAATTCATTAAAAGAATAGCTCTGTGTGATTCATACATGACCAGTAGCTGAAAACAATAATAAATACACAACAACAGTATGAATAAAATGAGAAAGTATTAGAAACATACCCAGCAGCACCACACTTTGTATAACACCACCTGCGATCAGCTATTGGGTGAACTAGAATGATGTAACGTATTCCTACACAGATTCCACATAACTCTACAAATTGCTCACGGTCAATTTAAACCCTTAAAAGTGTGCTCGAGTGTAAAGTGATGTAATGTTACACGTGTCCAATTTGTGCCCTTCCTCCTAAATTTTTTATTTATTTTATTTCGTTTGCATTATGTGCAATTTGTTTTTACAACACACTTGCACTTTCATTTGCAATACTTTTCATTACTTGCAAACTTATTTGTTTAAATCTGAGTAAATATTTTTACATATGCATTTTAGATTAAATATGTTACAGCAATTAAAAATATATACACTTAAATGTTTAAAAAAAAATTGTGCTTTCTTCTCACTTTTTTTTGTAGCTTTCTTCTCACTTTTTTTTTTTTTTTTTTTTTTTAATACAATAGTGGGCCCAATTTTTTTAAACTCACCAAGCGCCCCTCAACCCTACAGGCCTGCACTGTCAACAGTGCAGTGGCTTACTTTATATCCAAATAAAATAAATATCCAAGACGATATCCTTTTTAAGTTTTGAAGTAGTGAAGACAGGAGAAGTCAATGATTTGTTATATTTATTTAGCCTGACATGTTTAGTTAAAATAATATATGATGTGTTAAATGGAAAAAATATTGTTACATAAAGACATTTAAAAATAGTTTATTTTAGAGAAGTAATAACAATAACAAATGAGACCGTGATATTTTTATCCAAGGTTTTCATACCATCAGAATTGTTTACCGGCCCATGGCTAGATCAAATTAAAGTTTTGGGATCTTACACTGTAACTTATGTGTCCTATGGGAAATTACTGCCTCATTCCAAATGATATACGTGAATTACTACATGGCAACTGTCAGATGACTGACACTATAACAGGAGTATTTCTAGAATGTACACGAGAACATAAACACAACTGGTTTGCTTGTTTTTTTTACCAGAATGAAGTGTTATTTCTACAGAAGATTGTAACTATAGAAAAATTAAGCTCTCATTTGTTGACCTGAACAGCAAAACGTGCACATGAACCGCGAATGCCACATCCTGATTAGCTGATACACAGAAAAGACAATCCTATACGCATATAAAGGGGATTATATGAATAATAAAGGCGTTTTTGGTGTCACGTTAATGTGTACACGATCTCCAGAAATGCCCAGAGAGTCCAGCGAGCACCCCATCATCACCACCACCACTGCCATCATCATCATGGAGCGGCCACTTCCTTACCTTTCCGCCTGAAGAACGACATGATGAATCTGAAGCTGTGAACGCGCGCTCAGCTCAGAGACAACATCCCGACGACTCCCGATTCCCTTCATTCATATCACTTCATCGCTTTCATAACGCACATCAGCGGTCACTGGCAAACCCGAAAAACGTCCAGTCCCCGCTCAGCTGGCCCGGTCGCCATATTGTCAATAAACGCCTCACTTCCGGAGTGTGTCTGCGGCACAGCGCTTCTGCTGGAATTATGGGAAAAAACAGACAAGTGAAAAAGCCTTCATTCCCATACAGGCCACATAGCATTGCTCGAAAGCGCGTTGATATTTTATGAAGGGTGCTATTTTTTTATTAAATGATATGACGGCAGCGTCCTGCATTCATGTTGTGCCTTGTAGTTAGCTACACACTAGCCAAAACTGACTAGCGTATGTAGCAGATGTGCAGTATTAAACAATTTTTTGTTCACAATTTATTTATTCAATAAGTTCATGTGAATATATAATTTACAGTGAAATTGTATATCTATCTACACTCACCGACCACTTTATTATATACACCTTAGGCCACCAGGTTGGACACACTTTTGCCTTCACAACTGCTTTAATCCTTCATGGCATAGATTCAACAAGGTAATATTCCTCAGAGATTTTGGTCCATATTGACATGATAGCATCACACAGTTGCTGCAGACTTGTCGGCTTTACATCCATGATGCAAATCTCCCATTCCACCATGTCCCAAAGGTGCTCTATTGGATTGAGATCCGATGACTGTGGAGGCCACTTGAGTACAGTGAACTCATTGTCATATTCAAGAAAACAGTCTGAGATAATTTGCGCTTTTTGACATGCTGCGTTATCCTACTGGAAGAAGCCAACAGAAGATGGGTACACTGTGGTCATTGAGGGATGGACATGGTCAGCGATACTCAGGTAGAAATATCCCCACACCATTACACCATCACAAGCAGCCTGGAACGTTGATACAAGGCAGGATGGATCCATGCTTTCATGTTGTTGACGCCAAACTCTGACCCTACCATCCTTATGTCGCAGCAGAAATCGATACTCATCAGACCAGGTAATGTTTTTCCAATGTTCTATTGTCCAATTTTGGTGAGCCTGTGCGTATTGTAGCCTCAGATTCCTGATCTTAGCTGACAGGAGTGGCACCTAGTGTGATCTTCTGCTGCTGTAGCCCATCTGCCTCAAGGTTGATGTGTTGTGCGTTCAGAAATGCTCTTCTGCATACCTTGGTTGTAGCAAGTGGTTATTTAAGTTACTGTTGCCTTTCTATCAGCTGGAACCAGTCTGGCCATTCTCCTCTGATCGCTGGCATCATCAAGGCATTTGCCCACACAGAACTGCCGCTCACTGGATATTTTCTTTTTCGGACCATTCTGTGTAAACCCTAGAGATGCTTTTGCTTGAAAATCCAGGTAGATCAGCATTTTCTTAAATACTCACACCAGCCAGTCTGGCACCATTATCCATGTGTCACGTTCATAGTTACTTAAGTCACATTTTTTCCCCATTCCCCAGACATAGACCATGTCTACATGCCTAAAAGCATTGAGTTTCTGTCAAGTGATTGGTTGATTAGAAAATTGCGTTAATGAGCAGTTGGACAGGTAAACCTAATAAAGTAACCAGTGAGTGTATGTCCATACTGTGGAACCATTACAGCATTATGGATGTGTAATTTCTGTGGCAAGCTTGAAACATAAATTCACAGAGAATGTGGTTATATGTTAACAGTATATTGAAGCATCTGTTTATATATTCCAAACAACTATTCACAGAGTTAACTAAGGGATCTGAAAAATATCAACATGTACACGTTTTATATTTTACACGAGAAAAATAAACATGCGTTATGGAAGTGATCCAAAACATTTGTGAGGCTCACATACTAAATATTCTGTGAATTAAACTGCGCATCATAAAATAAATAATACTAATCAGAAGGAGAAAATTGGATCTTATTCTTACATAAAATATAAGAATTTTTGCATTTATGAGGAAAATCTCTGTTACGCATGTGACAGATGTGAGTGACAGATGTTCGCTCATTGTGTGTTTCATTTTGAGCTATTCTTTGACATCTATCAGATTTTCACTGATAGACAAATTTTGGCCTTGTTTTATCCAAGCCATCTATGTTTAGCAGTCTATGCCTGCTGGTTACGTGGCTCACCTGCTTCTGGTTATAGTCTGGTTTAGAGATCACAAACCAATCAACTATAAGCAAAGTGCACATCTCTGATGCAATGAAGCCACTCCTCCCGATCCCCTTGCCCCAATTTAAAGTTCACTATTTAGTTTAACAGTTTTAGAGATTAAAATCTTCTGATGTGATTGAGAATTATTTATTATTTTTTTAAATGATTTATAATTATTATATTTTTAATCCATTAGACAAAAGCAATTTTAGTTTATTAATCGACAAATGAGTTTAATTATATATTCATTCATTTTCTTTTTGTCTAAGTCCCTTTAATAATCCGGGGTCGCCATAGTGGAATGAACCGCCATCAATTATATATAATTTTAGATTTAAGTCGTTAGCACTGTCGCCAAACAGCAAGAAGGTTGCTGGTTCAAGTCCAGGCTGGGCCATTTGGCATTTCTGAGTTTGCATGTTTCTCCTCGTGTTCGCGTGGGTTTCCCCCACAGTCCAAAGACATGCGGTACAGTTGAATTGGGTGACCAAAAATTGGCCGTAGTGTATGTGTGTGAATGAGAGTGCATGGGTGTTTTCCAGTGATGGGTTGTGGCTGGAAGGTCATCCGCTGCACAAAACATATGCTGGAATAGTTGGCGGTTCATTCCGCTATGGCAACCTAAGGGACTAAGCTGAAGGAAAATGAATGAATTAGATTACAGATGAGCTTAGGCTTCTGAGTCTCTGTATACACATGAACAACAACTGTTTTTACAAACTTACATACACTTTACAATATAAATCAGACTGTTTTCTTTTAGCTCTCCTCTTTGGTGGACAGCTCCTTTCATCTTGCTATATAAAGTAAATGTTTTTAATTTTCCCGTATTTTTAAACCATTATTGCTTCTGAATTTCGATTAGTCCAGTGTTTCTCAACCACGTTCCTGGAGGACAACCAGCAATGCATGTTTTGGATGTCTCCTTTGTCTGTCACAGCTATTACAGGTCTTTCAGTCTCTTCTAATAAGCAGATGATCTTAATCAGGTGTGTTTGGTTATGGAGACATGGAAAATGTGTTGAGCTGGCCCTCCAGGAACGTAGTTGAGAAACACTGGTTTAGTATATTGCAAGATGTCAATCACAGTAATGTTATAATTTAAAGCATGTGATTGACTGTTTGCTACTGATGTCCCACTTTCAGGTTAAATTTTGATGTAGCGATGTGATATAAATCTGTAACATCACCATAACTTACCCCAACCACAGAACTATTCAAATAGTTTTGGTAGTATAATCTGACAAGTATGATAAAAGGTCAGGACACTCTGTTTACAGTATCTATTGATATCCATGGTAGAAAAAGCAAATAGTATGGATGTCAATGCATACTGGATTTATCAAAATATCATATTGTTTTAAAAAAGGAAGAACAGGCTTGTGATAGTTTTCATTGAACTATTCCTTTAAAGGATTATTTGTATATAATCGAAAGACTGCAGAATATTTTCAAGGGATTTAAGTATGAAATCAGAATTTACCTAGTTTATTAGCACACATTGTTACTTTTTAGGTGATCAATAATCCTCGCAAGTTAATTTACTGGGAAAAAAAGGTTGTTTTGGTAATCTTCAACCAAATCTCACCGTTTGCTTCAGAGTTTGAAGTGGCAGTTCTTCTCTGTTCACACCAGTTTGACAGCTTCTTACTTTAAGACTGCTACGAGGAAATGTTTATAAAAAATGTCCCATTTACATTTTCATTTTTATGATCTATATTCTGGGTCATTTTAGATTTTGACATGTTATACAACCCTTTGTGTGACAGTGTTAAAATAAGTATTGAACGCGTCACCATTTTTCTCCGAAAAAAAATATTTCTAAAGGAGCCGGTGACTTGAAATTTTCCCTGGATGTTGGTAACAACCAAAGAAATCCATATATGCCAAGAAAACAAATCTAACTATGTTACAATTTAAGTTATGCTTAATAAAATGAAATGACACACAGAAAAAGTATTGAACACATGAAGAAAGGGGGGAGTAGAAAGACATGGAAAGCCCAGACAGCAGCTGAAATCTCTCAGTAGTTCTTCGGCAACTCTCTGCCCTTCGCCATTGTAAATTCATATTAGCTGCTTTAGTCCTACATCTACATTATCAGGATAATATGGATGAAACCAGCATTTTAGCAAGACAATGACCCAAAACACAGCCAAGGAAACTCTCGAATGCTTTCAGAGAAAGTAAATCAAGCTGTAGAATGGCCCAGCCAATCCCCTGACCTGAATCCATTAGAATATACAAATTAAAGACCAGATTTGATAGATGAGACCTACAGAAACATCAAGATTTTTACACAAGTCTGTCAAAAAAAAAAAAAAAAAAAAAAAAAAAAATCACACCTGAGAAAATAATGTGACTTTATTCTCCATATGACTGGCTCCAAAAAAGCCTTTATATAAAGTATGAAATACATTTCAGTAGTTACTCCTTGTCATCACATTTTTTGTTTTGTTTTATTTTCATGTTTGTATTGTTTGTGTTTTTACCCGAATCTGGTTCAATGTCAACGTCTCCTTTAGAAATATTATTCCCAGAAAAAAAACATGACATGTTCAATACTCATTTCCCCTGCTGTATATATATATTTAATGTTTGGCAGAATTCTGTGCTGCAAAGATGCCGAGCCCCAATAAACAAAAAGACAAAGCCAGTAACATCCTTTATTGCTTTAAAGTTTTAAGTAATGCCAAATATTCCCTAAAGTTGTGCGTTGTAGCAAAGGCAAACATACTGAGAAAAACAAAGATCAGGTCAAAAGTACCATTAATTTAACACGTTCTGACAAATTGTGTCCAATTGAAAGATTTCCCTTTTTGTTTTCAACCATTAAATCGTTAATCTGAAGCCGTTTACACAGGGAGTTTCCTGCTCTGATGATCTTCTCCTGGGAAGAGCGGAGAGCATCAAGCAACATCCGTGCCCGAAACACTTTGGACGTCACCATCATTGTTGCACTACCCAGGAGTCCCACAAACAGAGAAGAAAAACTGCTGTGAAA